TAAATATGTGGGTCTTTATGACGGCTGGTGGAGGCATTTTTGAAAGGATTAATCAGGGCGGATGGCGGAAAATTTGACTTGGCTGACGGGCTTTGATCATTCAAACTATTTTTTTCCGGATTGTTAGTATTATCGTGTTTCTACTTGTTCATTTTAATCATTTTATTTGCAAATCTAAATTTCTAAGCACCTAATTCACCACCCAAATTCACGCATTAACAACCGCTTTGACATCGCCACTGCACTCTAATTTGCGTTTTTATTCCTTTCCTCGAAAAGGACTCTTTTCATCCCGCGGCAAACAAGCACCAGGAGCAGTTTGTGTGTTTTCAATTCGCGTATCAAAAGCCGTCCAATTTGCAAATGGTAACCTATCCATTTATCATACGAGCAAAGCTAAAGGCAATTCTCGGTTGACACCGGTGAACTTCCATCCAAAAATACATTTCACAGGATTGATTCGACGCTGGAAACGTGAACGTTCTTCGTAAAGACGTGTTGAATACTCCGCCACGGATCTCTTCTCCGCCGTTGTATACTTTTGTTTTCTCCCCCATTTTTATTTATACGTGCACATGCCGGGCAATAAAATAAATTACACGACTTGTTCCGTTCTGAGAATGCCGCCTTGACACTAATTAACGCCGTCATTGTTTAAACAAAGCTTGATGAATCGGCGAGGAAGGATACAAGGACCAAATCTGAACGGAAACATTCTTGGGTTGGTGCACCTGCGGGCTTCGAACAACGGGGATAAACGCAAGACATGGTACGGTGTTTTAGATGTTTTAAGAATATGGCTGCCGAGGGGTTGGCCGCCAAGGAAATTCTTGTACTCCACTTTTACATTTACCACATTTACCCAACATTTACTATTTTTTTGGATGCTGTGTACAGTAGTTTCGGAGATAAGTCTCTAATAAAAATTGATATTAAAACCAGACAGACAGACATACAGACAGACAGACGGAAACGGGAGATCACTTTTACTTCTCGAAAATGGGCCAAACATTGAAGGAATTATCTTATTAAAATGTCACCAAAAATTAAAAATCATACATATTAAATATTTGCCAGATATTTTACAACATTTACAAACAATTACGATTTTGTCTACATTTTCTAGTTAGTTGACTTCTCGATGCACTGTTATAATTGATGAGAGCAATTAACTATAAAAAGACGAGTTAGAATTGATTAACTGTGCAGATACTGACAGTGGACGTTTTTGTAAGTACGTCCTCAGCGTAGTCTTGTACGTTTTTATATTAGAGTTTTACGCTGTGTTTTACGTTCCGGAATTTCGTAGTTAAATTTATTCAAACCACTTGCCTAAGTTTTCCTAAAATGGGTCACAGTAATGGGCAAAAGTAATGTTTTCAGTTCGATAATGCATCCTCTAAGGGATGTAAATCTTGAAAGCAATTAGCGAAGCAGTTCGGTACTTAATTTAAAAGTCTAACTTTATGTTGCTTTATTTTAAAATTTAAATTTAGAGTAAATTAACAGCATCTTGAAACGGAAATGTGAAAATTTTATTGTATAACATAAAAAGGAGTTGGCAGTTTGCTCAAATGCCATTTCGTACTCAACTAAACTTATCACCATGTAAAAAATTGATAGATCCATTTTTTACACATTATTGTGTTTATCAATTCTTTATAAAATATGAATGTCGTGTACGTCATGTTCAGGTGTTCGTCAAAGCTCTATTTTTTTCAAATTTCCTTCGTCAAATATGCTCTTCTTAGATCTCTCGTGCACATAAATCTCCTCTGTATGGAAATAGACGCGATGAAGCTGCCAGATGGTTCCGCTCAGACCGAAATAGTAATCAGTTCACACCACAAGTGTAATAAAGAATTCACGGCTAATTGTGTGAGGTGGTAGCTTTGAGGGAATTTGTCCAGAAGAGATAAACGATTTCGAGGAATGGGCGCCATTTAGCAAATAGGGTTTAGAACAGGGATAATCGTGTCATGTTTTTGTTGCCATAATTCATAATAGAAAAAGATATTATGATTGTTTTATTGAAAAAGAGGTCAGGCAGCAGCTGTTTCGGGTCAGAGGATATCTACGTTATCCCGGATAATGGCGTTATTATTTGAAGAGCGTCTAAAGTGATTTGTCTTGTGGGAAATCTGGGTGTTAGCACAAATTGACAACAATTTTAATTTGTCGTATGCTCAGAACGTTATTTTTGCATCTGCTGCAATTATATGGTCTAAGGACTCTCTAGTTTAATGATAGCAAACATTTTGTTTTATGCTTATTCCGTTATTAATCCCTTCCTGATTGCTCTGGAACAAACTTCCAAGCCAATAACCTCATCTTCATTAATCTCCCCATACAACCGTATCAACTGATTGTTTTTCCGCCGCAGCCAATATGAGACTAAAACTGCAATAACTCGAAAAAATAGGGATCTTTTCTCCTCCACGCTCCCTCGTACTCCAAGTGCGTTTTTGTGTGCACACGCTCTTTATAATTTATAGGTTATTTGAGAGAGCTTGTTTGGATCCCCCCGGGCTTCATCAGTGCTTAAGTTTTATAATGGTTTCTTGAATGATGCATAGCGAAGCGTCCACCAATCCAGGCCGGGCTGGAACTCGCTATTTTCAGAATTATTAAAATTTCAACGCGAATTCAACGGCTTCATTTCATTTAATTAATACGGTGCATCTTGGTGGCTTCTGCTTTTAAACCACTTTCTCCTAGACTGCATGCTGCTCCCTGTGCAGATTAACGCCTTAATTCTTGTCGCTTAGTGTGTTTTGTGATGCAAACGGATTTTAATATTTCATTAACCAAATTCTTCCGGAACTTTGTCCGCTTAATTCACATGAATTATTCAGAGGTCGTTATAAAATGGGTAAATTGCATTTTTTTAAACTGCGTCATCGCCATTCATTAAGAGCGACTCCATCGTCTAGGAATAGAAATTAAATTAAATATGAAGATAAAACACAAGCGAATTGTTGGTGACTATAATGTGTTTTATAGGGTGCCGCATCCAAGTTTGGATATAGGGAATTAAAATGGGGAATTGTGTGATCCATTTGTGAAGGTAAAAAAAAGGTTCCGTCTCAGTTCGACGATCACCTTGGAAAATTGAATTGTCAAAGTGAAATTAGAAATTATTCCCCGATTCTCATTCAGAAATCAGTGAACAACACAAATTGAATTATTTTATCCAGTGTGATGATTATTGTAGGACAAATTAAACGGAATAAATGCACAAATTGGTCCATTTATTGATGCTGGGTGCAGCAAGTGAATCCCTCCACGAAATTCCTGGTCGTAGTGCGCGACGCCGTTAAACGAGTCTAACTACACTCAGGCCGTATCCAAGAAACCCGAGATGAAACCCTTCGAGCAGCTCTTCTTCCTCAACATTTTCAAAGGTGATGCAAAGACTTGAAAAAAATACTGGTCGATAACCTTCTTTTACCTTCACAAATGCTTCATTCAATAATAAGCTTTTAAAATGATCTGGGGAGACATAAAATAAAAACCAATTCCCCATGCATACAGTCAGTCGCACTTGGAATAAACCGAAACCTTCGTCGCGGTGGCGTGAATAAACCGTTATCATTTTTCTGCGTGAAGGAAAAATCTCGCCCAAGTTCACCATTCTTTGCTCTTTGCAATATTTAAGCCGCGTCTGGATGGAAGTCGTTTAATATTGCACCAGGGAAAGACTTGCAGTAATATCAAAGCATAAATCCTGAGCTCGCTGTTATATGTAAATTTAAACAAGTGCCCTGAATTATTTAGCTTAACCCACATATACACATGCATAAGGACGACCAGAGATCCTGCCAGGATGAAGCGGCGGGACTCCGGGATTATCCTAGTGGAAATATATGGGTGTTTGTGTTTGTTTTCGAACCACATTCTGCAAAATTATATGCAAGCCGGGGCTCTGTTATTGTTTTAAGTCGATCTGCATTTCCGCTGATATTGCAAAATTACACGACTGACCTGCTTGCGTCGTTCCGGCTTTGATTCCGGAGATAAAACGAGTTCTTAAATTTTACAACCGACGGTTTCCTTTTCGTGGAACGACAGAACAAATAGAAAGGTCGGATGGAGACGGTGCTCGAATTTGACGAAACTGGGGGGCCATGTGAAAGTGTAATTTCAAAACTTCATAAACACGGGACGTTATTGTCCATAAAAAAACTTGTGAAGGGTCTAATTTTCTAAACTGTGACACATCGTAATTATCTTAATCGAAATGAGGATCTTAAACACATTTTATAGATTTGTTAATTAAAGTTGGAGCCGTAAAAAGATACTACCGGTTTGGGAAAAACAGAAGATAAAATCGTTTACATCTTACTTTAATTGGGACGCTTTCAACTGCTTTTCAAAATTCAGCAGAGATCAGTTTTGCCCTGTTTGTCAGAATGGTTAATTTTCTCCACAAACATAGAGTTATAATTTAGTATTTTAGTGGGACGTTTGTATCTACCCAAAAACACAACCTCCTTTCCCAGTCCCCCTTTGATACCACTTTTTACCTTCATCTATCATATATTTGTAATCTTATCAATTTTGAAACCCCGCTTCCGCTTTTTGTATTTCCCTCATGAAAGATAGTCACCCCTTTATCCCCGACGTCTACCCGATTAACCCATTTCTGCTGAACGCTTGGAGACAGGCCAAACTGTGCCAAGCTGATATGTCAATTTAAAAAATTTTGTTGGTTATAAAGCCCCCTAAGTGCGTTCTTATGTCGATCGATCGCCTCTATCACGGCTTTAACACTGCGGTACGTCCTAAACACAGACACCACCACCGACTTACATCCGAGATAATATCTCGATTTAATCGAGATTAAAGTTGCCCAACGTTCATGTAAGACAATCATCTTTTACGACTGCTTTAAAATTATATCGACCAAAAACGGATTGATTCATCGGCGAACATTCCGCCAGCAACAAAGCTAATTTCGGCCGAACATTCCTACTTTCATCTCGTTGCCTTGTCCGCAGACATGAAGAAGCTGTTCGAGGAGAGTCCCGCGTCCACTCGGGTGGAACTCAACCAGCAGATGGAGCTGCGTTGCGTTCCTCCGGCGGGAGTGCCGCCCCCGAGGGTGTACTGGCTGCAAGGGGGGCAGCCGCTGCAGCCGGACACGTCCATTCTGGTGTCCACGGAGGGGCATCTGCTTATAGGACAGGCCCGGAGTCAGGACACGAATAATTACACCTGTGTGGCGGAGAATATCGCCGCCAAGAGGATGGCGGCTCCGGCAGAGATTATCGTCTACGGTGAGTAGATTCAACGTTTTTTTCTTTTTTTTTAAGTTATTTAGAAGTGAGTATTGAGTATTGGAGTTATCTAACTGAACACACGTTTTTGTTTATCTCTAGTTAGCACTTGACAATCGTATTTTTAAATTATATTAATGTTTTATTTGCATGCAAAAAGTGCTTTCGTTTTGTTAAAACATACACAAGAGAAGTCATGTTTTCAATTTTTTAAATTCAAAATTAAGGGGGTGACATCCTCAAAGGACTAAGTTAAACATAATTATAACGACGACACGTTTCGTTAACCAAATTGGTATCATCAAGACGGTTAAAAATTGATATCCAAGTCCAACTAAACATTCCATCGAGCAGTGTTGACCACGTCTTCTCCCCCACTCGCGAGTCCCAATAAAGGGAAGTGGGGAGAAAGAACCAGCATCTGTGTCGAACACGCTATCGATATTTTTAAATATTTATAGGAAATCGAAAGTGTCCATAAATTTACAATTGTGAACCACTTTACAAACAATAGATAAAGCCATTTTAAAAAATAATTATACAGGGTCATTATAAAATATTGTAGTCAACTCACCTATGAAAAACAAATGAAATTTTTCTCGTGCCGCTAATCACCAAAATGATTTGAACTGTTTTGAAATGTCACGAACGTCCAAACAAATCTGTCAGATGTGTCAAAAATTGAAATGCCCGGTTCGCGGTTTAAATTCATTTTAAATAGACACGAAAAGACGCCAGGCCAGAGCATTAAGGGTTGCAGTGTTATCGGGCATTTGTGAACGCCACTGCAATACATTTCAGTTTCAAAAATTGTAAATTGTCAGAAAAACGTTTAAGGGCTTTGTCATGAATTACACCTTGGAAAGTCGATTGGAGTTGAACAGAATAAATCATCTGGTCTGTTTTGCAAAGAAGCAATAATTTTTCAAATAATGAAATCCAAAAAGTGAGGTTAAGTTTGTCGAAACCAATGAACACGGTAATTATTTAAAAAAATACATTTTTATAGGTACCCTGAAGGTAAAAATTGTGAAAAATCACGTAATGGACAATGGCAGAGCAAGTCTTATCACAGTTAACGAACACTATGAGTACCTAATGAGTTTTTGCAGTAAATAATTTTGCCAAAGTTGTGATCCCGCGAAAGTTCTGTTTGTAAATTGAAAGGAATCGTCAAAATATTGGTGCAGACATGGTGTGTGACCGGTGCTTTTCTCTTGAAAAAACACAACTGAAATCCTTGATCTTCATCCCTACAATAGGTGAAAACTGCTATGTCCAAACATTACCTTCAGCTTTGCAGTTTCTAGATATCTGAAACATGCCAGATCTGCATAACAGGAATGTCAAAGAGGTTCTACCCAAAACACGCCCACATGGCCATCCTAATATCAAGATTTTTCAAAATTTCTATAAGAAAAAAGATGAAAAAACCAATAAAATTTCAGGAGCATAGTGTTAAGAGTTCTGTAGCTGATTATGAGATCTCTTGAAACAACAGAATGTTTAATAAAGATTTTTAACTTTCCTAATAGTAAAATTACAATTATTACTAAACAGTAAGTTGAAGTAAGTTTTAAATTAAGAGAATGCAACTAACACCGAAAGAAAAATGAAAGTTACTGAAAATAAAAAACTTTATTGCAGTACCTACATACACTTTCTACATCTAATTTTGTTTATTGATCACATTCATTTACTTGAAAAAGTATCAGGCCTATGAATCGTCGTCTGCTAACCACACACCAACCTTCATTGCGTGTGATGGTGTTTCTTCAAAAGCGTGAGTATTTTCTATACACCAAATTCTGAAGTTCTGTCAGTTGACATAATAGCCTAACAGATGAAACCAGGCTTCATCAGAAAAGAACGACAAATCGAGAATCCCGTTATCGTCCATATCAGCTTGAAACCAACTACAATACCCAACGCGCCAAGGAAAATCAGCTGGTTGCAGCTCCTGAACCAACAAAATCTTGTATGGATGCATATGTAACTTCTCTTTTACGATTTTCTGACATGGGCTGTATGGTACTCCGGACAGTAAAGATTTTTGACAAAGCTTTATTCGGACTTTGTTCCATTCTCATCCTTAAATCTTCAACAACGTCTTCACTAACTTGAGGTCTCCCCGTCGGTTTTCACTTAGAAATGCTACCAGTGTCGTTAAATCTGGCCATAATTCGCCATATAGCGTCTTCAAAGATTCTTCATCAATGACAACAGAACATTTCACTAGATACTCGTTTTTAGACGCCTCCACAGAGTACACTCCATCCCCATCCTCATTTAACACCCCATTACGGTAATAGGCATGATGATTGCGCCAAAGAACTAAAAAAATCATTTGTAACACTGACCATAGTTATTCCTCTCTGTTCATTACCTGAGATTATTCCACAATGATCCGTAATTTTGATAAAAACTGTTTTTTGAGACACTTATTAAAGTTCTAACAAAGGGGCAAGACAGCAAAAATGAAAACAAGACAAGTCAATTAACGCACAAAGTGAGGGAAAACGTACCAGTACAAACGAAAAAATTATTGACATCTGACAGAATTTGATGAAGCGTTGAAACAGTGCAGCCCCAAATGTCAACTAATGTGGCGCTAAAAATAAAAATTCCAATATTAGTGTAATCCTTTCCACAAAACTGAAAAAGGCGGCACAAAATGTCACCAAAATCATGGCCTTCTTCGACTACAATATTTTATAATGACCCTGTATATAATATCGTACGATCGAAAAAGTCTTCTAGTAACTCATGAAATTTATTTTTAACATAATGATGTTGGCACTGCAGCTGTTTGACGGTTTATTTGATATTTATTTCACCGTAACTATCAAACCAAACAAGGAACACGTTAGTGTTGCCAACATCATTTAGTTTGGGAGTGTTTAAAAAGAAATTATAATCTGTTGATGACAGAAATATCAATTGATCATGTAGTTCACATTGTCTGCTGTAATTTGTCTTCTCGAGAACAAACAGAAGTTTGAAATAAATATACAGATAACCAGATATTTAATTATAGTCAACTATGCATCATTTTTTGACACCGCGTAACCTAAAAGTTCAACTGACCAAAAACAGTTCTAATCACAAAACATGACCATGTTCCTTTGGCACCAAAATAATTTTTATGTTCTTCGCAGAATATTTTGTATTCGTAGCAAATAATTTATAGCAATATATTGACATTTACTTATATACAGTCATTGTAGTCACGTTTTGGTACACCAGATATTGAAATTCAATCTCGCTTCGTCTTAAGACCGTGTAATTTAATTAATATCTAACGGATTTGTAAAGGTGTTTAAAAATGTTACGTATGCAAAATAACGTTACACTGTTTAATTAGCAGCTGAAATATAATATATATTTTTTACGAAACCGCCAGATTCCTTCACAGTTCACACACAGATACATCTTGTCAGATCAGATTCGTTTCTTACAGATAAGGTTTCTAAATAGAACAGGTGGCTCTTAAATACATACTTTGCTAACGACATGACAGTCTTCCTCTCACATTTCAAAACTTTAAATTATAGACAGCATGTCTTTTTGTAATCTAGAATACATACACTAAATAAATTTTGGCAATCATGTAACAGTTTTAAAGATAAAACATAAAACCGAAGTTTTGTATCAAGTTTAGAAAAGATTTTTGGGACCTACTTGTGTATTCCTTCTAGTTAAGGTCAAAGAATAAGACGCTGACGATTTTCACCGTTATGCATAGAAAGAATGTTTTAGTCACAATAAATAATGCAAAAATTGACCATAGAAAAAAGAACTGGGAAATTGCAAGCCAAATCGGCGACTAAGATTACGATCACATGTGAAATAACGATTTTGTTTTGAATGGAATTGATCCCTCTACATAATACTAAATCCGCATGATCACTTTCCCGATACTTGTGACCCAGATTTGCCCCACTAGCCCTCTTCCCAAAAAACTTTTTCGATTACTGCACCAATTTCTGAACTGGACACGACTGAAGTTTTTATGTTCGGGTTTAATGGGGCGATTAAATCGCACAGTTTACGCAGTACTTATCAATGTCTTAAAGGAGATCCCGCAACTCGGCTGCAATTTACGAGTACCGTTGCTGGGGATTATTTTATGATTAATTATTTAGGTATCGCCGTGGTTTTATGACCCGTGCACTCCCAAGGACTCAATTTAAGTGATTGCTTCTTCCGAGCGAGTTATAAGCTGGGCTTTTCACCACGAATCGCTCCAGACCTTCCATCACTCACTTCCCACCGAAACTAACAAATCGTGGCTAATTAATATTCCTCCCATCACGTCCACAAATAACGTCATAACAAGAGGTATAATAAATGACAATCCGTCAACACCGCGATCTTCGATTCCTCCTCTAATCTGAACACGCTATCGGAATAATAAAACGGCGTGCCACCGCTAGATAGCTTCTAACCCCTGTTTATTTTTAAAGTGATTTTATTCAGACGTAAAACAAGAGGTCCTCGACCAGATCCTTCACGAGATAGTGTCCCGGTTTCCCAAATCTGACGTAAACTAACCCGAAACCGGCCTGAAACATCCACTCGATTTTTTCTCAAGTGCCACCTGTTGATTTGGTTTAAATGTGAATTCGATTTATCCACTCGAGTTGATTGTCGAAAAAATGACTTGACGTTTGTCAGAGTGATGAGGATGTTGGAAGAGTTGTTATGGAACAAACGAGGCGGAAGATGGTATTTGAGAGCCGTGGGCTAAACGTGCCGGCTTTTGTAGCTAAGGTCACTCGTTTGCACAATCAGATTTATTTTTTAACGAAAGGCTAATACAATATTCTGAGCGTGTTAAGCTATACTGTGGCGGTTTTGGTGGCTCTTCGTCGTCTCGTGGTGGTTTGTAAGTTACATAAACACTTTAGGGTGAAGAAGTAGATGATTTCGGCGAGAGACACTACGGAGAATCCGGTGAATAGACCGATGAGGCCTCCACAGCTGGCCCAGAAGTCAGCGTTGCTGAAGAGTTCGTTTCTTTCCATCGTTATGAAACTGGAGTCTTTGAATGTTAGGTGTACGGTGGTGTGGAAGGTATCGTTGTAGGGTAGAGATGGGGGTTGGCCGGTGCTGATTTCTGCGTTGTAGACGATGGAGGTGCAAGATGGTAAACAGTCACAAAGTTCGGGGAGCTTCGGGATGGTAGATGGGTCTTGGGCAAGTGCAACCCGAATGTTCATTTCTATGTTTAGATACTCTTCTGGAATCACACATATGTTGTTATTTGAATTTGATAAATATCTGGTTTTCTCTTTCAGACACTGAATGTACTGAAAAATTTGAAAAAATTGATCTAAAACGTTTAAAAAGTTCTTTCCTATCCACTGATCCGTGAGTAATATCCCATGATGCTAGTGGGCGATGGCATTTTTTTTAAATAATGATGTTAACAACAACAACGCGATGTCAACATCACTATTTTAAAAATAAATGTCGTGGCCTACTAGAAGACACTTTTTTCGACCTTACGGTGTACTTTTTTTTAACCAATTGATGTGTGTAAAGTTAAAAATAAGGACGGATTACTAGATCACAGATAAAGAAAAATATTATTATGTAGACTTCAAGTGAGCTTAAGTTAAAAAAATTGAAAGATGAATCATAATTTTTTTAGATGAATAAATAAAATTATGTTAACGCTCTGTAATCATTAAATTAATATTACTCAGTGCCACGTTATTTACGTTATCGGAGATTCTGGTGTAATGGAAACAAATTTCTACACAGGGTTTTGAAATTTGATATTATGTCGAAATTTCGATGTATGTTGTGAAAAATTTTGATATTTATGTTTAGACATCCACAAAATCGACGTAGCCGTCTAAAATTTTCTTGTGCTTGAAACAATATTCGATATATTTGAATGTTTGTTTTAAATTCGCCAAAAAACTGCTGCATTTGTTTGTATTTTCGATGTCACCAAAACAAAATTCCATATCTTATTATAGTTCTGAAAATTTCATTCTACCCTTTAAAATTTTATTGACAATAACGGGACGGACAGTAGTACAATAGTAAGAAATATTTACGGGTCACACCAGTTCACCCGAATTTGTAGTTGTACTCATAAAATTATGGTCATTTTCGTTCGCGAGTAACGAGAGTCCCTGTGCGGACCTGGATTATTCTGCTTTCCAACATCTGGGGATTACCTGCACGCGACAATTTTAAGTTGTAAATATCTTTTACTATTGTACTACTGTCCGTCTGGTTATTGTCAATAAAATTTTATAGGGTAGAATGAAATTTCCAAAACTATACTATTACAAAGTTTTCAATATTTTCATTTTTTTTAATTATTTATGTTATCGGAGGTTATGGTGTAGTGGACATAAAATTTCGACGTAGTTGCTCTCAAGTTCGATACATTATTTCGAAATCCACAAGATCGATATACATAACCGTCTAAAATTTCCCAAAGTAATCGATGTACTTGAAATTTTTGTCCTATATTTACTAAAAAAACTGCATTTGTTACAAAAAATTTCCATATTTTGATAATCGGGATGTAATGGAGACAAATTTCGATGTATGGTGCCAAAATTTCGGTATTTATGCTTCGAAATCCACAGTTTCGATAGAGTTGTCTAAAATTTTCTTTCAATGGTAATAATTCGATATAGTTGAAATGTTTGCTATAAATTCACGTAAAACTGCTATTTTTGTTTGCATTTTCGATGTCACATACACAAAATTTAATATCTTACGACAAAATTTTCCTTATTTAAAAATTATTTACGTTATCTATGATTTTGATGTATTGGGAACAAATTTTAGCATATTAGTCCTAAAGTTCGATGTAGGTTGTCAACAATTTTAATATGTATTCTTAGAAATCCACAAAATCGATATAGCCGTTTAAAATATTCTTGTAATAGTATTCGATGTAGTTGAAATCTTTGCTCTAAATTCACAAAAAACTGGTGCATTTTTTTAAGTTTTCGATGTCGTGAAACAAAAGTCGATCTTTTGTTTATAATTTTTATTGTTTACAAATGTTTTACGTTATCCAGAATTTTGATGTAGCGAGAACCAATTTCGATTTAGTTGCTCTCAAGTTAGATATATTGTCTCTAAGTTTCGCTGATTGTTTCGATACTCATTTTTGGAAATCCACAACATCGACATAACTGTCTAAAACTGTCATTTACTAAAAACAACTTTCGCACTAGTTGAAACTAGTTTTTCCATGAGAAGAACGACGTAAAATTAGTAGTGGGAAGAAATTTCGACGTACGTGGTCGAAATTTCGATGTAGTTAATGTGAATTTCGATGTATCAGGACGCAGTTTGTTCCACATTTAAATGAACTCAAAGACCCATTAGTAGGGTCTCAGATTAACACTAAATTTTGATGTTCCTGATTTTATTTATTTATTTTTATTTTTTGAAAAATTCCCTGTTAAAATAAAGTGTAGAGGTGAATGATTATTAATTCAATTAATACCAGTATATTATGCAAACGTCTTCATTTTTTGGGGAGACCAATACAAAAATGTAATATTCTTTGTAACCACTGTGGCGGCACAATAATACGTAGTAGTAAGCGAGGAAAGATAAGCTCCTCCTTAGTCTAGTGGTAAGGGCACCCGCCCGGTAAGCGGTAAACGTGCGGTTCGATTCCCACTGGAGAAGAAACATTTTTCTTCGCTTACATACACCACTATTAGCAAAATACTACAATTTTTTTAAACCATTTTCTACGAGAAATTAAAAATATTTGTTTAAAATCAAAATTTGTCTGTTTTTCCCACCAAAATTTGAGGATGTCATTTTAAAATTTTGCCGATGTGCTTTACTTGTGGTTTAATGATGTGTTTTACGTTTACGTTACTGAGTTATAAATATATAAACCTAAAACACATTATTAAACCACAAGTAAAGCACATCGGCAAAATTTTGAAATGACATCATCAAATTTTGGTGGGGAAAAGAGACAAATTTTGATTTCAGTTTTAAAATAAAACAGTAAAAATGTTGCAGTCCAATATTTTCTAAGACTATCCGCCCAATTAAATCACCAACAGACAGACAGACGGAAACGGAAAACCGATATTTTCGTATTTTACAAGTTGTAAATGAATTATTTTTCCTAAAAACGATTCGTGATTTAAAAAAAATGATAAGCAAATTGTTTTCTGAAATAAATATAAATAATATTGAAAATTATACCTTGACTTTTAGTTATACAGGGTGCATCCCCCAACCCACAAATTTTCGTCGATTTCTCATCTACAATTAAATTATAAATTGGAAGTTAATTTCTGCTAAATATACTCACGGGGTATAAAATATGGAACACAGCCACATGTCCTCGCCGTAACATTAGATATGCATTCTAGTATGCAATTTTGCTCCGTATAAACTTTGAAGAATTTCAACTTCCGTTCAGTAGCTAGATAACAGTCTCTTTTAAAAGGATTGTAATTCATTAAGTTTGAAGAAGTAGTTATTATGTCCGGTTTAACCCAAATTTTGTAATTCTGATTAATAGATAAAAGAGTGTATCTAGTTGATAAGGTTGGAAGATCAGCAGGATGATGCAGAATTACACAGTAAAAAATGTAGAGTTGATCCAACTACAAAATGTTGCTCAAATAGGTCCACTACATCTTTTTAGTTAATTTGACCACATGGCTTAAAGCAGTTTTTTACTAAATTAATTTCGTAAAATTTAGCAATGCCTTTAGTTCAAAATCAGTTGTTTTATTGTTAAGTATTCTACTTACCGTTGTTTAAATTAACATTATCGTAGTATGAATACAACTACATTAGCCTATGGATTAGAAACATTTTTGATTGTATTGCACGTTTATACTGTTGCTCGTACCATTTGTTTTTGCAAACATATCTGCCACTAACTGAATTTTTAACAACATAAGCTGTTGATTTTGCAAGAATTATCGTGTTCGTTTGTTTTTGCGTATAGTCAATAACCATCTAGTTTGTGGTCTTTTGACAAGCTCGAAAGTGATACATTATCAAATTTGCTAGTTATTTTAACCAGTGAACTTGGTTCTTCTAACAAAATAAACTGGTTGTACTGCACTTATTCTGATGTCTTGGATGTATTTTGGCATTATCATTTTGTTAACTTAACAGTTATTTTGTTACTTTTACATTTTATTGTAGTTAATGTTCATGCCCCTTGTTGGTTACTTAACTAAGTAATTTTGTTCTTCTGACCAAATTGTATCGCCAAATTACCCACCCTTGAAGTCCCAATGATTTAATAATAAAACTCATTTATTTATATTTTTTTATTTTCATACAAATACAATATACATTCATAGAAAACAAATAGATTTCCCGAATTAGGTTTTACACAGATAACAAATTATTGTACATTTACATTTATGATAATATAGAATACTTAGGAACAATTGCATTAATATTGCTACCAAAAGGATGATGTAACTCATATGAGACAAAGTGATTTACACTTTTCAAGTCAACAATTTCAAATATTGTGTTATTAGGGCTGCGTATAATGTAAGCTTGATAAATCTCGTTAAATGTAATTGTATCCCAAGTCGTACAAATTAAATATGGACTATTATTAATAATAAGTAACTCAATTATCTCGGAAAAAAGTGGGTATTTTTCATCGTGTTCTAATGTAACAAACATTTTCTTTTGGAAGAAAGTACTGAAGGCAGTTACCGAATTTGTAACAGTTACGGAATAATTGTCTTCAACACCAAGTATTGAATCAACAAAATGTTTTAATGAAACAGAATATAATTTATTTTTGTAATTAATTTGACTGCATTTTCCGTATAATGGTTGATAACCTAAATTTATGTTGTTCCATTGGTGCCATATGTGCTCCTGATGTCGAAAGCTCAGAGTTTTGCATAAAGATTTGTAGTTTTTTAACTTGGTCACGAGATTTTTAAAATATCCATGTTTAGCTTCAAAACGCATGCAACACAAGCCTATTAGAGGTCCCATTTTTAAGATTATGTAAGGATAATGTATCATGAAATGATGTTTGGGTGTTAAATTAATATTGTACTCTTTTATAACTAATTCATGATGTTGCCTAATTAATTCCTTTAGTTCAGAAACACTTGCTTTTGTATTCACTGTAGAAAATACTATGTTAACAATTTTTAGAATTAATTGAATAACTTGGTATTTTCTCTGGTGTTGTTCGGATAACGATAGTATTTTATCCGATAAAATTAAAGGTATGAACTTCAATAAACAGAAAGTCTGTGCGGCACGTTGGCCTATTGAATTACCTAGTTTATCAAGACTTATGGGGCTTGGTTTAGTACACTGATAATTATGTCCAAAATTGAAAGATTTTATTCTGTCATTAATATCTTCGAGGGTTATGATTTTTTCTGAAATAAGAAATTTGAAAAATAATTTAAGTTCCAGTTGTATAACACCTTCTAATAAGTCATGCATAATGTCTACAGACTGATTATTACATAACTTAAATTGAGTAAGATTATTTAAGGAACTTCGGAATTTAATGCCACAGACCGTATTATTAGATCTTTTCGAAAGATCGGTTTCCTGTTTTAGCGATCTACAATGTTGTTCATACATAAAATCACTTCTTAATAAACTTTCATCTTGAATGGCTCTACTTTGTGCGTCTGTTTTATTAGCAATGCAAATGCGGCAATAGTTAGTCGAGGAAAAAGATTCTACCATGCCAAAAATTTGATTAGCACCCAGATTGTCATGACTAAGTGAGACAACTGTGCCTTTTAAAAATGTCTTTGCAACGTCATCATAAACTCCTTGCTCTTCTAAAATTTTAATATCTTTAACAATGATATCTAGAACTGAGTTCATGCCAAATTTCTTTATGTCATTGGCATAGAATAAAGCAACTAAATGAATATTCTCCAAAACTGAATTTAACTGAGCGGGTAAGTTCTTTATCATCATGTAAATTGCTCCAATTTTGTGTCCTCCCGTTTTGGATCCTAATGGATTTACCGTATCAAATTCATCGAAGTAGAGCTGCAGCTGAAACGCATGAGGGTTTTCTTTAAAAAATGCACTCTTTCGGAAAATACTTCCATGTGAAAATTCAGAAAGAATGTTGGGGTGACTTTCTTTGGGTTTTTGAAATAATAATTTTCGAAAAGAGTCATTTTTTAAAAGGAATTGTAATGTTTTTAAAATTGGAACATACATAAAATGACATGACATCAGGATTTGTTCGTAGACAAACTTTTCCTTATTCCATATTTGGTCGTATCTTATGCCTATTGGAATTTCAATAGGTTCAACTATATGTTTTTTAAAATACAATTCTCTTTTATATTTTGTGTTAATATCTGAAAATGCATTCTGAACAGCTATGGTGCTACTGATTCGTGTATCCGAAATTATTTTTAGTAATTTTTCATTCATTTCTAGGATATTTTGAATGGTCGAGTCTGGTAAACCCAGAGAGTATAAACTCGAAACATATGACGCACAGTAATCACTTAACGATTTCTGATTAGTATTTGATGTTAGGTTACATCCAAAATCAAAATGTTCGTTAGTAGATGCACATATTAACTCAGTTTGAGGTTTTACAACATTAGAGATTGAAGAACGATCCTTATTAATTTTGTGTGTGTTACATTTTTGAATGTGTCTCCTATATCCACTAAAAGTTTCATATATGTTGGTACAACTAAAGCATTTTAATCTTAATTTTTCGTTATCGTACAAAGCATGCACCTGTCGTAAATGTTTCAAAAATTTACCTAACGCTAAATTACTAAAAGTACATAAAAAACAAGAAAACATGTTTAAAACTAATATAAAAACTAAAAAATACTTCTAAAATGTTAACACAACAGTGTAAAAATGATATTTAGGTATTTCTTTATTCAGATTCATCGCTTGATGGCGACATCAAGTGATCCATTTTAGTTCTCAACCAACGAATTCTATCGGATATTGTCTTTACTTCTAAATTATAAAACGCATTTTGAACAAATTTATAAAAATACTCTAAAGATTTCTCAAAATCTAAATTAAATACAAAATGTACTTTAAAACAAAGATCAAACGCAGTTATTACATTTTGTTCAGGAGAAGGGATTATGTGTTCGTCAAATACTACGTAATATTTACTTATTGCAGCTTTGGATGTTCCAATTGCCAGTATGAACGGTTGTTTGGATGGTCTTTCCTTCAAAATAGTAGTGAAAGGTACTTGCATATCTTTAAATATTATAAGTTTGTTTGCAGCTGTAGCGGCACTTTGTTTTCTTGCATTTTTAGAGCTAGTTGGGGGTAACAAGTAAACCAACATTAAAATTGCATTGGTACTTGCATTCCAATCTGAAAATAAAATATGTTAGATACATACCTCTAAAAGATAAAATCTTTTAATTAATCTGGTACCTTGGGGGTCCTTATTTTCTTCGTGTAAAAACTTTGTGTTTATATTTGTTGCTGTTGTTGTGTATAGTTTTTTAATTATGGAAATATTTTTTGAAAAAGTTTTATGAAATATATCATTTTCAGGAAACATTAGAGAAAATTCCAAACTTATCTAGAAAACAAAATTTCAAATAAATTAACAAAAAGTATTTTCACCCTTACTAAGCCAGGCGTATCAAAAAACCTGGGAAATAATTTATCGATATCTTGTCTGTGACTGTTTCTAAAGTCAAATGTCTGTCTTGTGCGTTCAAAAATATCTTTTATCTGTTCCTGCGTTGCTGCCTTCAAAAACTCTATGGTTTCTTGAACACTCTCATCATACTCATCACTATTGACTGTGGAATTCTCTTGAATTGTAGAATTTCCTTTTTTCACTTTTTTATCTCTAAAAACAGTTCGTAAGCGGCCAACGATGAATCCCCTAAATGCTTCCTAAAATATTGTTAATAACATGGAACAATTTATTATCTGTAAGGACCCAATTTAAAGTCGGATTTGCGATAATCACAAGTCGCATTGTATCGTAACTACTGTCATCGTATCTCCCATGGTAACGGAGACTTGCAACTATCGCAAAATTCAACTTGAAATTGGCTATACTAAATAGACGATTATACTAAAGCTACTGCACTAGATCGGCAGTACAAGTTGATGTGGTGACCTTAGAATGTACAAGGTATCTTTTTTATTGATAAATATGTGTAGTTTGAATAATTTGTCATGCATTTTGAAATGTGAAGCTCGTCGTTTAAACTTAAATAAATATAAAAAGACACCCTGTATACTAACATTTTAAAATACGCACGATGAAGGCATACTTACATATCCTTCGTCAGTATGTACATCTTTCAATTTTGGGAACAGTGTTACTATGCATTTAGCATATTGTGTTCTCGTTTCAGCAGAAGGTAAAGTATTGGGGGGCATAAATTGTAACATATGATCAACTGCGATATGCACCAATCGTATCCTATGTTTGTCATCTAATGTTCTATTTTCTTTATAGTAGCTGATTACTTGTTTGCCCCAAGCATCAGATAACAAATAGTTTTTGAATTCCTAAAACGTATCATTGGTGATACATATATAGTAACTTGTTACCATTATAACGACATACGTGATCAGTTAAATTGTGGTATGAAATTGATGATGTCTTTAGTCGCTTCTTACCAGTAGGGGAAACTATTAATGAATAAGAATCATCATCTTCATCGAAATTTGAGCAGATATCGGATGGTGCCGGGGACGTAGGCAAGGACTGCAAAGTTTCCGTACTGGCACTACTAACTCCTCCGGTATATGCCAATGAATAGGTTGAAAAGGCAGGAGAATTTATATTTCTCTCCATAGGCAATTGTTCTAAAATTTTAATTTTGATGATTAATGGAATTATTAAGAGTGCAAAAACGAGCAAGCACTATTTTTCCTACTATCGATTAAAAAATACTGCCAGTAATTTTAAACATTGGCTATTATTTATGATCTGACAACTTTCTAAACTATATCTACTATACTGATATATCTTTTTGAGTAAAATATTGCAATTTTAAAAGTTTTAAATGTTTACCACCATAAACTCTTTGTCTCTGATGTTTTTTTAAATGACTGAAATTGCCTCAGTTTTACGTGTTTTTTGAGCAGAACACTATTTTGTATTTCCATATAGGTACATATATAGTGCAAAGGCAAATGGACCAAATACTCTCAAAGCAATTGTAAACTCGCTAAGCGATTGGAGTGGTACCTTTCAGTATTGTCATTTAATACGTTCAATAGTTTACCTTATATAATGTCTAATAGTTTTTAAATAATTAAAATACCTATGACTTCATCGTCCTTTACAAAACTCAGTATTACCCCTTTGTTGGAAATGTTTAAAAAGTCGTTTATAAAATCCTCGTTTATTATAGCTCCATCCGAATCACGTATGTTGAAAGAGGATCCCAATAATTCTGGGAAACACTGAGAAGCTGAAGTGTATTAAATTAGGTATACATGCATTACTTTTTTAACGCAGATCATACAAACCTTTAAGTTTAATAGATTCATAATTGCCGCTAACTGAAGCCCATACCAGTGTTTCTTTATAACGTAATCTTACATAATACGTTGTGGATGTGGAAGGGCACGCGTTTATGAAGGTATTTGTAAAGTCGATTTCGTAATTGTTATCAGTCTAAAGAAAATATTTTCATATGAGATTGAAAGAGAGGGTACTTTGGTATAACACAATTTCAAGGTTAACGTATTGGTCCAAACCCAAATATCGTAGCTTCAAGAAACAAAGGAGCAAAGTGGTGCGTAGTTTATCGTTCATATGTCACGTAGCATACAGATTACACTAAAACATGCAATATTTGGCTTTGGCACCGATTAAGCAATTGATAAAAAGGATCCCCATTTAGTTATAAAATAAAACATTGTTAATACTTACCATTGTGCAATCTTTTTGGAAACGAAACTCCACGCAGAGCCCAACAATGCACACAGAATGCACCGAATGCTGACGCTGGAGCGGGAAACACACATACCTAACTCATTCGTGTAGTCGAATTAACCCGAATACAGTTGCAAGTATTAATTTTTACAACATAAATGGGTAGTTCAGCACTTCCCGAAGTCAGCGGCACTTTTGTATGTGCAAGTTGACAATATCCAAGTTGTTGATTTCACTTGGCTTAGTTGTGAGGTTGGTTGATGCATTTTGTTAAAAACAGAAACAAAATGTGGTTCGAATCAACAAGTAGGATATTTAAACTATCCCGATTGGGACATCTATGAACCGGAGTAATTGTATGTCCACTTAATTTGCGAATGATTGAACACATGCAATTTGTTGGTTTCATCACTTGGGTTCTGTTAAAATAGCAGTGGTATGTTATTGCATTATCAAAAATATCTGCATTCAATGAACAACAAAAGAGTGAAATGTAGCCTTTACCAAATGATAATGTACCATGTTACTTGTGATCTAAAATTTTTGGTCGTCCATTTACCAAGATTAAACAGTTAATTTAGTCATAAACATTAGTTGTGGGAGCTGTTCCCTTAACAAAACACAACAAAAAGTTAGTTTCACTATTACTAACAATAATGTCCAATTTACATTCAGAAGGGCAGAAATGTACCGTATCAGTTGCGAATTAGTACAAACTTTTTCGTTATATGAGCAGCTCAAAAAGGACAAAAATATAATTGTTAAAACAACAGAATGTAACGGGAAGTCAACAATATTCCGATCAAGCAAATTTTTGAATTCTAAATTTTGCTGTTCCGACAGCAATTTAGTGTTAAATTTAACTGCGAATTATTAACTAAAACTGTTGTTGTAGAAATTAACAAATCATTTTTTACTGTGTACTCTGAAACCTTTATATTTTTCACACAATTCATCAGCTGAAAATTTGTCAATGTAGAGCCGAAAATACATTGCGTTAGTAATGCTCGTAATTCTAAGAGGAATAGTGGCGTTTAGAGTATTGATAAAATTATTATCAATCGTCCAGTGGAGAGTTCGTCGATGATTTACGTGGTGTGAACGAACATAACTGCAATGACAGGCTAAATATTACGGTTCACATTGATGAAAAAACATACGTTGTAGTTTGAAAAAGCTCGCTCTTATCCAACATGTTGAAGGAAAAGCACAAACCCACGTCTGTAAAAATTGGAGAAAAAAGTTCATGACATTGAAAATGCTTTGCACCCATGGTTATCACGCATAGTTTCAACATATCCTGTAATGACACAGCACGCTGCAAAATAACAAATATTATTAGATTTTTTGAAGTTTAAGCTCACGATCTTACTTGTTCGAAGAAGTCAAGTGATTTTATATCTGGAGTATGTTCAGACATACACAATGGCAAATGTTTGTGAAAACCAGTCTTGCAAAACATACTGACATCCATAAAATGTTGCACTCTAATGCATAATCGCTGGAGTAATTTTTATTCTAGTGTTAATATTCTGCATGATACTCACTCTTCCGTCGTAAGATTGTTCTTGACACACTTATCCGCATAGTAAGTAAAATTATACTTAGTCGCTTTGATTTTGTTTGATGGGCAAATCGTAATCGCTGGAAAAGGTATGTCCCATATGTGCATGGGCGATTGACGAAAACTGACAAAAACCGGATTTTTATCCCTCTTTTCTAAAGTGCACACAATAAAGTTAGCACTGAGATAAACACAAAAGCTGAGAACTATTATCCACCACAATCTACAAACAAGTAACGAAAATTACAATTTTTTGAAACGTGACTTACTTTTCTAGAGTGCATTTTCTCCCAGCCCCCAGATATTTGAAACCATGGATGCTGGTATTTCTGGAGAACTCCCCAAAACATTTATACGCGCTTTTAAAAATGTTTCGTTTCGTATTGTTGGAAGTTTTCAGTCGATTTGTTTGATAAATGTGGTGTGTGTCTGTCTGGACAGAGACATTGTATTTTGGGTTAATCATTTCGACAGAATGCCTGGTGTTGACTGAAACATTAAGAGAATCGTAACATTAACCAGTGTGATGTAATGCAATGTGTTGGTTGTAGCATTGAAGTGATTATCTAGCAATGTCAACAGACAGATCAATATTGATTGTTTAGATTGGTTAATGTTGTTTTAGTAAGGGTGCATTAGTTACACACTGTAGACCAAAATTTTAATTAATGACACTGCAGCCATTGAGAGGACGTTAAATTATTCTTATTCATGTAACTTGTCCTTTACAGAACGGAATGTAGCAAATGTCGCGTAATTAAGTTAATGTTATTTGTGATACCGAAGTGATTGTTGTGTCTGATATGAACAAGTCCATTAATATTGATTCACTCGATTGGATTGCGATGTTGTAGTAATTTTCTAATCCCTTGTAAAGTGGAACAAGAACATTGACATTGACGCAAAACAAAAAGTTTTAGCACAAATTAATTCTTGCTTTATTGTAATTATAATATGGGTGATATTTTTATTCTAAGTATATAAGTACTTTTGGGAAACGGTCATATTTTTACCAAACTCTCTCTCTCATGTTCCAAAAATTGTACATCCACTTTAGTGTCGCAAAGTAGATTATTTCAGCAAGAGACACCACCGAGAATCCTGTAAACAGCCCAAAAAGACCTCCACAGCTCGCCCAAAAGTCTGCATTGCTGAAGAGTTCGTTTCGTTGCATTGTTATAAATTTTGAATCTTTGAAGGTAATGTACACCGATGTATAAAGAGTCGCGTTCCTAGAAAATTTGGAAGGTTGTTTTGGGACTATTTCGGCATCGTATACTATGGAAGTACACGAGGGCAAGCACCCACAAACATCTGACAAATTATGTTTTTTAGAACCATCTCCGAGAACTTCTAACATTAATCGTCTACTCAAAAGCTCTTCTGAAAATTATTGTTATGTGGAAAATTGTTTATAACATTTATTTACCTTTGGCGTGGTATACACAAGATTTATCCGTCAAGCCACAAATTCGTCCGGTCGTTTCGTCTAAAATCAAATTTTGACGAACTCCAATTTTTTAAAGTAAAAGCAAATTACGTGGTAAAAAATAGGGTATGCAACTGCATTTTTCAAAGGTGTGGTTAGACATACACTCCAGAAGGCAGTTCTGCTCGGTGTAAATTTTAAAAAATTTTAGTGTCCTTTCTTGCGAAAAGTAGCAACCTCTTTTATCAGGAAGGTAGTCTTCTAAATTTTTCGAAGTAACGGTTATGTCAGGTTTGATCCACACTTTATAATTTTCTTTAGTCGACAGTAGTAAATATCGGTGTGACAGGGTCGGGGTTTCAGCAGGGTGATGGAATATAATTTTGTATCCTTGATTTTTTTCACACAATTTATCTATATTATGTGATTTGGTGGTACGGAGACTAAAGTACAATCCTTGGTTAACACTTATAAGCCTCATAGGAACTGTGGAGTTTAAAGTTTTAACATAGTTGTTATCAGGACTCCAAAATTGAGCTTTTCTGTATATTCCGTGTTTTTCTGGTTGATATCTAAAATAATGCTTGAGAAATGCAGCTATTAATAAGCAAAGATCTATCTCACGTTATGTTTTCAAATAATTCACTTTTGTCCAACATATTGAAGGAAAAACAAAGACCTGAATTTGTAAGTATGGGTGAAAAAAGTTCAGTGCAATTAAAGGGATCTTGCAATATTCGGCAAGAATCTAAAACATCTTCTAACGATAAAGAGTGCTGAAATTTTTTTTTTCATTTTTTGGTAGCGTATTAGCTGTTACACTTACTTCAATAAAATGATTGATGGATTCTTTGTCCATGGTGTGTTCTGAAACGGACTTTGAGGTAAAATGTTGAACATAACCGTTTTTACAAAATTCGTTCATGTCCAAGAAGTGTTTTCGCCTGTAATTCATTGTTTTAGTATATTTAACATTCTTACTAAGACGTACTCATCTGTGGTCAGATTATTTCGTTTATACTTTTCTGAATAAAACGTAAAATTATACTTGGTTGCTTTAATCTTGGATGCAGGGCATATGGTAATGGCTGGTAAAGGTATGTCCCATATATGCATTGGAGACTGCCTGAAACTTATAAATACGGGGTTTTCTTCTCTTTTCTTTAAAGTCGAAAATGTTAAAACTGTACATAGGTAAATGCAACCCGAAAGTACTAAAATCCACCATATCCTGTAAAACGATAAGTCTAGCTACTAACTATCTTGTAAATTAGAGTAAGCCTCACTTTTCGAACCTGGAACCTTGACTATTACCCAAATATTTAAACCCATGTATACTTGTACTTCTTGAAAATTCCGAAAACGTGCCAGACACAGAATTTAAAAAGCTCTCCCTTCTCGATTTTGCTTCTTGTAGCACTGAGAATGTTAAGTCGGTTGATGAACACTCTTTATATTTTGACATGCTGCTGAAGTCTACAACTACGAAATTGTGGTACAAAACAGTAAGCACTCATTCTATATAAGCGGTGTTATCACTGTTATCAACAAGAAGATTTGTATGCTGATAATGTGACTAGAATGTTTTAGACACTAATTTCTTGAGGTCGGTAATTAGGTGGGTAATTCGAATGACAATAATACACATTGTTGTCTTTTTTATTAATTAATTGTCTATGACAGTGATATTCTAATTTTAGCAAAATATTCGTTTTCTCTTGCCCCATAAATTACATATCCATCTCAGTGTGGAAAAGTAGACAATTTCGGCAAAGGATACCACAGAAAACCCTGTAAATAACCCCAAAAGACCTCCACAACTAGCCCAACAATCAGCATTACTGAAGAGTTCATTTCTTTCCATTGTCACGAACTTGGCATCTTTAAAAGTCATGCGAAGCGTTGTATGTGAAGTGCCATTCTGAGGTGAAACTGAATCATGTTCTGGACTGGCTTCTGCATTGTACACGATGGAAGTACAAGATGGCAAACAGTCGCAAGTTTCTTCTAAATACTTATCATTTAGATCGTTTTCAAAAATCTCCAATTTCATTTCCAAGCTCAAAAACTGTTCTAAAAACACGCATTGATAACAAGCGAAGTAAACATTTCTGCAACAAATTTACCCTTGACTTGGATCACGCAGGAGTGATCTGCAAAACCACAAATTCGTGTTGAAACCTCATCTACAATTCCGTTATTAGATTATCAAATTTTGCATCAAAAAAATTCTTACGTGGTGCATAGTAAAGCGCACAGCCACAACGACTTATGGTGAAATTAGAAATACACTCCAATTTACAATTTTCCTCTGTATAGATTTTGTAAAATTTGAGTTTCCTTTCGTTGGAAAAGAAGCAACCTCGTCTGTGGGGATAGTAATCTTGTAAATTTGCAGCCGTGGTTGTGATGTCGGGTTTGATCCAAATCTTGTAGCTCACGTCGTTTGACAACAAGAGATATCGGTTTGCTAAAGCTGGAGTTTCGGCAGGATGGTGCAACAGAATTTTGAAACCTCTGTATTCTTCACAGAGCTGATCTGTGTGAGAGGTCTGTAGTTGAAAGTATAACGAGTCTGTAATTTTTGTGAATCTGACTGGAACGGTGAAGTTGAGAGTTTTAATGTAGTTGTTGTCCATAGACCAGTTGCGAATTGTCATGTGTTTCATGTGGTTGGCAGGTATGTACGTTATATTTTCATAAAACTCACTTTGGTCTAACATATTTAAGGTAAAACAAAGTCCCGCAGACGTTAGAACTGGGGAAAAACTTTCATTACATGGAAAATGTTTTATGTTCATCACACAAAATACTAGTAGATCGTTTATTGACGGAGCACGCTACAAAGATTTTGGAATTAAAGATATAGGTTCATACGTGACTTACCTCGATAAGATAATCAATAGATGCGTGATCAGGTCTGTGTTCTGACATCGGTAAAGCACAATATTTATTGGCAGTTCTACAGAATAGGTTGATGTGCATAAAGAGTTGGAGCCTTTGGGGTATACAGTTAGAACAGTCAGTGTAACATCAATACACTTACTCCTCTGACGTTAGATTATTTCGTCTACACCTATCCGCATATTGTTGAAAACTGTATTTCGATTTAAGTTTAACAGCGGGACAAATGGTAACCGCAGGAAAAGGAATATCCCATATGCGCATCGGCGATTGGCCGAAACTGATAAAAACCGGATTTTCATCCCTTTTTTTCAAAGTGGTGTTGGTTAAAACCGCACACAAGTAAATGCAACCACAGAGAACCATAAACCACCATATTCTACAACACGAAATTTTTCCGAAGCTGATATTCTTTGTTGGTACTTACTTTTCAAGGGTGCACCCTTTGTAGGCACCTAAATATTTAAAACCATGTATGCTGGTATTTCTAGAAAATTCTTCAAAATTCTCAGACACGGTCTTTAAAATATTTTCTTTTTTGTATTTGGCGGTTTCACTCAAATTTGTGTCTTCGATCATCGCCATTTTTGTGTTCGTTAGAGGAACATCATTGTGTGAATTATTCATCGCTGAAATGGTAATTGAAACGTTACGCGTATCACACATTACCAATTTAATGCCCCTCTCAATTATTATTATCTCTAGTATCAACAACTACATTAATATTGACTCGTTTAATTGGTTGTTAAGGTAAAATAGAGATTACAATGTAGCAATTTGGGATTAACATACAAAGAAGACTAAAATAGGAATTGTTCTACTATAAATTTTGATTTGTTTCATTTTCTATTCTTCCATAGATTGCATATCCATTTTATTGTTGAAAAGTAGATAATTTCTGACAGAGATACCACAGAAAATCCTGTAAATAGCCCGAATAGACCACCACAACTAGCCCAAAAGTCGGCGTTACTAAATAACTCGTTTCGTTCCATTGTTATAAAACTGGAATCTTTGAAAGTCATGTACACTGTACTAGAAATTACTCCATTGTTCGCAGAAGTTAACACTTGTTCGGGAACGATCTCTGCATTGTATGCTATGGAAGTACAAGCGGGCAAACAGTCGCAACCTTCTGTCCACTGCTCATTCGTAAACGTCGGATTATCTTCTAGAATTTCGAACTTCATTTCAATAGTTAACAATTTTTCTGAAAATTATAGAAGTATTTAAATATTTCTGACAAACTGAATAACTTGTACCTTTGACAATATGTACGCACAACATGTCTGAATGCCCACAAATTCTGGAGGATTTTTCATCTAAAATGGTTACCAGAATAAGACAAAGTGGCTACCCATTGATAATTGTCTTACGTGGTGTGTAAAAAAGGGAGCAGCCACAAATTTTGATCGTGTAGTTTGAAACACATTCTTGTCTGCAGTTTGGTTCAGTATACACCTTGTAAAATTTTAGTTTTTTTTCGTGGGCAAAGTAGCAACCTCTCTTGTGAGGATCGTAGTCTTGTAAATTTGTAGAGGTCGTTATTATGTCGGGTTTAATCCAGAATCTGTAATTCTGGTCACTGGATAAGAGCGTGTACCTTTGTGACAACGTTGGAACTTCAGCAGGATGATGTAGGATAACCCTGTAGCCTCTATTTGTCTCGCACTGCTCGTCTATGTCAGACTTATTGGTGTGAAGGCCAAAATATAGACCATCGTTGATACTAGTTATTCTGAAGGGGACAGTATAATTTATAGTTTTTTCGTAGTTGTTGTCGGCAGTCCAGTGGCGTGTTTTTTTGTGGATTACATGGTCTGCAGGAATGGACCTAAATATTGTCTTTGGCATTGATGGAATTCTGCGTTAAATATTCTTACATTATGTTATGAAACAATTCTGTCCTGTCTAACATATTGAAAGAAAAACATAACCCTGCGGATGTTAAAATTGGCGAGAAAAAATGGTTACAGCTGTAGTTCTTTTTATTCGTTTTGCAAAAACCAAAAATATCATCTATTGTAACAGATTGCTAAAACAAAAGTGTTTTTTTGAGCAAGCGAAATGTGTTCTTACCTTTATGAAATACTCCACGGCTTCTTCGCTAAGACTGTGTTGTATCTTTTCGTACTGGGAAGAGGCGCAGTTGTACTCAGGCTTACAGAACAAACCAATGTCCAGAAAGCGTTTCAACCTGTCACAAAAAATCTAGGAACAATTTTTGAATGATTAGTTAAGACTTACTCTTCATCGGTAAGGTTGGCTTCTTTGTGCCTCGTAGCATATTTGGTAAAATTGTACTTGCTCGCTTTAATTTTGGACACAGGACAAATGGTAACAGCTGGAAATGGTATATCCCAGAGGTGCATAGGAGACTGACGAAAGCTTATAAAAACGGGATTTTCCTCTCTTTTCTTGAGAGTCTGGATTGTGAAATGGGTACACAGATAAATGCAAATACTGAGTACGAAGATCCACCATACTCTAACAGAAAATCATTTGGAAAAAATATTCAAACTCCAGATCAAATTGACTTACTTTTCTATGGTGTACCCTTTACGAACTCCTAAATATTTAAATCCGTGGATACTGGTGCTTCTTGAAAATTCCAGAAAACGGTCAGAGATTATTTTGCGGAAGTTTTCATCTCGATTGTCTTGTTTGTTAAAATCATTTTCTTCCAGTATAGATTGTTTTTCTTCTCTTGGTAGAGTAGCGACATACATTATTTCTGCTGCAATAAAACGGTCAATACATTAATGAGGCGATTTGTACAGTTTAAGTGCTATTATATCTCCTATTATCAACACTTTGTGCAGATTGTTTCAGTACGATTTAGTTAATGTACACAAGATCAATAAAAAATTGGATCACACCCATGTTTTAAAAGCGATGGTCTCTTGATGTGTCAATTGATTATTATTATCAAGTTGGATCAAAATTTACACTTACGTTAGGTTTTGAAAAAGCTTGCTTTTTTCGAGCACCATTTTGTGTTCCTTATAGCACGTCATCGTTTGAATTATCCATCTTGACATTACCTCTAAAGTGGTAATTGAAACGTTACGCGACTCACACATTAACTAATTTGATGTCGCTTTCAAGTGATTATTATCTCTAATGTCAACAACCACATTAATATTGATCTGTTGGATTGGTTTATTAGGTTAAGGTACATAGATATTACAATATGTAGCGATATTCATCTAATAATATAAGTTCTCTATTTTCTGTTATTCCATAGATTGCATATCCACTTTAACGTCGAAAAATACACAATTTCTGCCAAAGATACCACAGAAAATCCAGTAAATAATCCAAGCAAACCACCACAACTGGCCCAAAAATCAGTATTACTAAACAGTTCATTTCGTTCCATTGTTATAAAATTGGAATCTTTGAATGTAAAGTACACTGTGGTAGAAAAGAATGAACTATTCGGAGACGTTGCCATTTGTTCGGGAACAATCTCTGCATCGTATGTTATGGAAGTACAAGATGGTAAACAATCGCAACCTTCTGCCCATTGATCATCCCTAAAAGTCGAATTGTCTTCGAGAATTTCGAACTTCATTTCAATACTTAGCAGTTTTTCTGAAAAACGAGAAGGGTTAGTCAGTTGAACAAATGCTTAATGTATTCACCTTTGACAGTAAATACGCATGCAATGTCTGAATGACCACAAAGTCTGGAGGATTTTTCATCTAAAATGGTTTACCAAAATGAGACAAAAATTACTACTTTAAGACAATATTACGTGGTAAGTGGTACAAAGCGCAGCCACAAATTTTGATGGTGTAGTTTGACAAACACTCCTCTCTGCAGTTTGGTTCAGTATAAACCTTATAATATTTTAATTTTTTTTCATTGGCAAAATAACAACCTCTCTTATGGGGATCATAATCTTTTAGATTTGTAGAAGTCGTTATTATGTTAGGTTTGATCCAGAACTTATAACTTTGGTCAGTGGATAAGTGTGTGTGTCTCTGTGACAACAGTGGAACTTCAGCAGGATGATGCAACATTACTCTGTACCCTTGACTTTTGTCACAAAGCTCATCTATGTCAGACTTGTTGAGATGGAGGCGAAAATATAGACCGTCGTTGATACTTGTTATTCTCATAGGGACAGTACGATTCATGGTTTTCGCGTAATTGTCATCAGCAGTCCAGAAACGTGTTTTGTTGTGTCTTACATGATCCCCACGAATAGAACTAAAATAATTGTTGTCATTGTTGGAAAGATACATTACCATAATATTACGTTATGTTATGAAATAATTCCGTTTTGTCTAACATGTTGAAGGAAAAACACAGACCTACCATTGTTAAAGTTGGCGATAAAAATTCGTTACATTTATAAGGGGTTCGATTTGTTTTGCAAAGCTCAAAAACATCGTCTATGGTCACCGAATGCTAGAACAAGAGTGTGATTTAGGAAGCGAAAAAGTGTTCTTACTTTTATAAAATCGTCCACTGCTTCTTCGCTCAGACTGTGTTGTAGTCCTTGCTCAGAGAAAGGACAGTGGTAATCAGATTTACAAAATAAACTCATGTCCCGAAAGCGTTTCAACCTGTTACAACAAACCTAAGAACAACTTCTAATTGCTTTGGTAAGACTTACTCTCCTCCGGTAAGATTATCCTCTTTGTTCCTGTTAGAATACTGTGTAAAATTGTACTTGGTGGCTTTAATTTTAGATCCAGGACAGATGGTAACGGCTGGAAAGGGTATGTCCCATATGTGCATATTAGGCTGATGAAAGCTTATAAAAACAGGATTTTCCTCGCGTTTCTTGAGAGTCTGGATTGTGAAAAAGGTACACAGATAAATGCAGATACTAAGTACCACGATCCACCATATTCTAATAAAAAATCATTGTAGGACAAGTATTCAAAATCTACTGACTTACTTTTCTAGGGTGCACCCTTGACGCACTCCTAAGTATTTAAATCCATGTATACTGGTGCTTCTTGAAAATTCCAGAAAACGATCCGAGATGGTTTTGCGGAAGTTTCTACTTTGACTGTCTTGTTTGTTAAATTCATTGTATTCCAGTATGGACTGTTTTCCTTTGATTGGTGGAGTAGCGACGTACATTGCTATTATTTCTGCTACAATATGAATAAAAAATAAAAAAGTCATTCCATTAATGTAGCGATTTGTACAATTTAAGTGCCCATTATATCTCATATTATCAACACTTTATTCTGATTGTTTGAATGGAATGGATTAGTTAAGGTACACACAATCAGTAAAAAATTTGATTACGTTTATGTATGTATTTTTCGTACACAATTAACCCTAATTTAAAACAAAAGACAAAAAATGTTGTCCGTGAGTTAATTTTTATTTAGTTGGTCCAAAGCTCGCCATCCCTTTTTATCTCTTACACAAAAATGTAATTAATTAAGGCAATCCATTTAAATCTGTAATCTCGTGACAATCCATCACTCTCTAAACCTAAAAGGTCTCAAATTACCCCATACTTGTTTTCCACATTAGCGTGAGTAAACAGAACGAATCGAACCCGGCGACTACTCTCTGAATAATTTATCTAATTAGTAACAAACGCTGTAAATCACTTTCCCATGCCCATCATTGAATTTTAATTAGGTGGTACCTAATTAACCCGTGTCAGATTTTTCTCGTCATGTAAACAGCGTACCTACACCGAACCGAGTAAGTACGAGGTCACGAGTCTGGATCACAAAATAAATTATACTTAAATTGATTCTCATGCTTGGGAGAATTAATTTCGTTTAACACAAGTCATGTTGACTGTTTAAAAGTACCCAACATTAATCAGATGCAGCGTCCGACACGTCTTTATCTATGAATAATTTATCGTTTTACCTTGAAGAAGGTTCTAGACTATCGCAGCCTTATAAGGTTATTTTTAGACCGAATTCCACTTTTGTAGAACGATTTGTCAAAAGATATATTTAAGAGCAGCGACATGATAAAATATTAAAAGTGAAGCGGCGAAAGCATAACATCTTTTTTAATATAGATAATGACGGGAGCGTTATTGAATAAATTAAAAGCTTCATTTTCCATTAATTAGGCTCCGTTGCTATGGCGGTATGAAGTCATAATATTTAATTGATATTTCAAGGTGGCTAACATCAGCAGCTGGCGGAAGAGGCGGTATCTTGGTATTATTTCCACAAAATTAATTTTTATCAGTGGTTTGGAACACGATTTGACACCACGATTCCTCGTCACTAATTTGCGGTTGTTCTAATTCTCGAAGGCGGCTCTTAATCAAACCCTGACGTTCATAGTTCGTGTCATTCGGCTGTCACTGTCCCGTGTTTGTTTAAACCCGTCGCACTTTTCAAAATGTTCAGTTGGTTGAGCCAAAAGCCGGAGGTGGTCCATGAATGCTACGAGAACGTCGCCGAGGGCCTGAAGAGCATCTACAAGAACAAGATGCTGCCCCTGGAGCAGCACTATTTGTTCGAGGACTTCCACTCGCCTCCTATGAACGATCCGGATTTCGAATCCAAGCCGCTAATCTTGCTGGTGGGTCAATATTCCACCGGCAAAACGACGTTTATAAAATATCTCCTTGAGAGGGACTTCCCGGGTATGAGAATAGGGCCGGAACCAACAACCGACAGATTTATAGCGGTGATGTACGGCGAGAAAGAAGGTGTAATACCAGGGAATGCCCTTGTCGTCGACCCCAAGAAACAATTCCGGCCGCTCTCCTCCTTTGGAAATGCTTTCCTAAACAGATTTCAGTGTTCACTCGTGAAATCTCCGGTGCTCAAAGGGATGTCTATTATTGATACTCCGGGGATACTCGCAGGTGAGCTAGTGGTGAAATATTGAACGACCCTTTTCGGGAATTCGACGGTTTTATTTATGTATCGGTTATCAAGAGCGATCGGAAGGACAGGACGAGCATAAATTTGACGTCTTTGGCGTTTCATTCGGAGCAAGATTTATCTGTTTTCTACCGGTGATTTATAGCCATAGACAGAAAAGGTGACAGCCAGGTAGCCCAATTCAAGAAACACGTCGGTGACATCATACAGTTCACGTGTGTGATTCAACTCGTATTAATAATTTAACTCAATTAAATCACTCATTGTCATTATCACTATTATTTTAGTTTAATTTTTTTTTAATCGTTTGTTTAAAAACACTCGTGACCCCCCACGGTTGATCTTCGGGTTCGCTCAAAGTGACCCCGTCACCGTTTTTCATTTTGTCCTTAATATCAGGTACTCCCCCAGGTGAGAAGCAGCGCATAGACCGCGGCTACGACTTCACGGGTGTGCTCGAATGGTTCGCCGAGCGCGTCGACAGAATCATTTTACTCTTCGATGCCCACAAACTAGACATCTCCGACGAATTCCGGCGCTCCATCGAGGCGCTGCGCGGCCACGACGACAAAATCCGAATAGTTTTGAACAAAGCCGACATGATCGACCACCAGCAGCTCATGAGGGTGTACGGGGCCTTGATGTGGTCGCTCGGGAAAGTCCTGCAGATGCCCGAAGTGGCCCGCGTTTATATCGGCTCGTTCTGGGACTACCCCTTGCGATTCGACGTCAATCGGCGCCTCTTCGAAGACGAGGTCCAGGACTTGTTCAAAGACTTGCAGAGTTTGCCCAAGAATTCGGCTTTGAGGAAGTTGAACGACTTAATTAAGCGGGCGCGGTTGGCCAAAGTGCATGCCTACATCATCGCCGAACTGAGGAAAGATATGCCGAACGTGTTCGGGAAGGAGTCGAGAAAGAAGGACTTGATTAAGAACTTGAACGATATTTACGTGAAGATCCAAAAGGAGCACAGTATTTCCGCTGGGGATTTTCCGGATCTGGGAAAGATGAGGGCGACGCTGGTGAAGCACGACTTCGCCAAGTTTCATACGTTGAAGCCGAAGTTGTTGGAGGTTGTGGATCAGATGCTTAGTGACGATATAGCTCAACTAATGTCGATGATTTCTCATGAAGTCAACGAGATTAACAAGACTGAAGTGACGGGGGGTGCTTTCGAGAACATAGTCGACCAGAATTCCCCTTTTGGGTACAAGAGGGGTGAAGGTGTTAACGCAGGAATGGGTGAACCTGAGTGGATCGTCAATAAGGAGAGAGCGGCCTACGATGCCATTTTTGACGATTTGTCTCCCAACGGTGCTAAATTGTCTGGGCAAACCGCCAAAAGCGAGTTGGTCAAGTCCAAACTGCCCAATTCCGTTCTGGGGAAGATCTGGAAGCTCGCCGATGTTGATAGAGACGGATTTTTGGATCGGGACGAGTTTGCATTAGCTATGCATTTGATTAACGTGAAAGTGGAAGGCAACGACTTGCCCGAGGTGTTGCCCAACCATTTAAGGCCTCCTCTTAAGAAAGTGTTTGATATGTGATACCGTCTATATGAATTAAGTGTTTTATGGGGATAATTAAAATTTATTTCAAAAGTCACAGTGTTGTAAACTTATATCGCGTGCACATATTTTTTGATTAATGCATCGCATCGTTACGGCTTTTATGGCTTTATTGCGCCGGTTTCGAGGTTTATGTGCATGTCAGTAACCAGTTTTGACACTGACTTAATTGTGTTTGCTTTCTCGGTGTTAATTTTGTAATTTGCTTGCTTATAAACATAAATTCGATATACTACTGTTTGGGCACTAATTTTGTAGTAAACATGGTAATTCTTTAGGCTTCATTTCATTAGCCGTCGACGATAATGTGATAGCGGGATATAAAAGGGAAATCGTATCCTCGTGCACTTCTCTTTTTATTTGAAACTGAAGCTAATATGATTCCGATGATTAGATTTGTTAACGCACATGTTGGATCATTTATTTCCTCCAGGGATCCACGGTTTTTTCATTTCTCACGAGTTAGATAGTTGTTGAATGTCTTTTCATGATTTCACATTATAACTTTTAACTGACGAAAATTAAGTAAGACTTACTCCATGACGAACAATTACTGAAAAAAATGGATCTGAATTCAACATGGTTTGAACGGTTAGTTTAGAATCTTGCCGCTAGGAGCGCGACGATATTTAAACTTGAGGACTGAATGACCAGATAAAACCTTTTTGAGAAGGCGACAGCTTTTCAAGTGATTTTTCTAATTTATGACAACGAATTCGATTTTATACAAATCGTCCGGAAGAATGAGTGCTATTATGTCGATTATTTTATTAGAAACTGGTAGATTTTATAACCCATATCCCGTAATTGTCGTATCATTTTTACTCATCTCAGGTAAGATAGACTTTCGGAAGAATTGTTATTGGGCAACCAGTGGCGCCTAATTCAAACTTGCCTGTCGTCTAGCGTTCCACTTTAACATAAATAACTTCTGTAAACGCCATTAGTTTTAGCTTAGTTTAGTAAATGTGTCATAAATTTTCCTACATGCGGTGTCAGTTACAGGTTTACAAAAGGACCTCAACCTCGTCGGTTAGCAAAAACAATATTACACGTGAGGTCAAATTCCTGCTCCGGTCCTCTCCGTTACTATAAACTAATTTTTATCGATCACACCTCCCGATATTTCCTGGTCGGTGTTCTAACAGCAAAAGGCGTGCAGGAGCCCAGCCTACACCGTGTTCCATCTATCTGCCGTTTTTAATCAACGTAAAAGAGTAAAAACATTAATTGAAACGAATCACTTTGCGAGCACAAACTACAGCCGACGGTTCAGGATCGAGAATCGGAAACGGTCTCTTTTAGACAGCTGCAGGCCGCACTAAACCAATTAAAACAAAGAACGAGGCTTTTGTCCTAATTGTATTCGTATTATCCTGCATTTAATGGTTCTTTTTGCACGGATTAGGCGCGGTGAACAATTCGAGCCCGCGGCGATGACCGTCATTAAAATTACCAGCCGACAGCGTAATAAAATCAAAGCAAGCATTCGTCCATTATAAAAAACGACAACGGAGGCATTCCGATGGACTTAATCTGGTGGGACTGCTGAAGTCGTCATTCAACTACCGTTTTCAGGAGTCCGGGAGCTGAAAAAGAAAGGACAGGTGCTATTGCGAACGGTACATTAGGTCCGCGTCACTCCGGCAATAAATTATACCTGACGTGTTTGGGAACACCTGGGGAAATATGGACAGGTGAAATTTAAAACCTGGTGTTATTAAGCGGGAGAAATAACCTTAAACAAACAGTATTATTTGTGGGAGAAAATCGGAGATGCGGTCACGAAACGTGCGCTGTTGATTTTCTTTTCGTCACATTTGTGTTATTTTAGTTTCGGCGAGCGTACGGAAAGATTAACAAGGGAATGAGTAAATATTTGGACGCATTTATCGATGTAAACTTCAATGGGTTTCTTCGCGCCGGTGTCCCATATGATGTACCTTTCATCTCGGAGGATCTGTTTATTTTGACGAATCCTGTTCCATTTGCATAAGCAAATTTCGCACGAATTGCTTCTTATTTGATATTTGCGCTGCGTTCAGGAAGGTGTACTTTCGTTTGTACAACCACTTGCAGAGAGTGTGAAAAATGTGTCACTATCTTTTAGATTTTTTTTTTCCAGTAGGTTTTTGTGTGATTCGATACATCTCCAGTGGATATCTCGTATTCCATTTATTCCACGAACCCCGTTATAAATTTCTCCTTAAACTAATGGATCGCATTCGCGATCCCAAAAGTTGCGTTTTTGTGTTTGCTCCTTTCGGATAAAAGAAACCCGCCCTTCAACGTTCGCGTTATTTTTAAAAATAATTAGTTTCGGAAGCTCCAGCCGGCAGGAGCGGAACGGTTCAGTGATGCACGGAGCCTTAGGAACGAAGGAAAGGGGGTATTTTAAGTACAGACACATTAACAGGAGTTTCATTCACACACTTTGGACAAATTAAGTTTGAAACGAGCAAACAAATGTGACTGCAATTACTCAAGATGCTCGGTGTTGGGATAATTTATTCATATCTGCGCACTGCTTTGATCGCACGTAAATATATCCACGTAAAAGGAACAAGAACAATCGTCATAACAGGGGCAACAAACTCTATTTTGAAACTATGTCGAGGACTACAAAGCCTGCGAAAATTATGATTTACTGCCATCTAAGTCGAAGCTGGTTAACGTCACGTCGTGACGTCACACTTGCTGTACTTGTTGCTGCCGCTAAGCCTTAGCTAAATTCGTGTTATCTTTTAGATGCTTCAGGTAGTATAAGTAATGTTGAAATGGTAAAAGTAGGTTTTAGGTTTCTGGAATGGGATTCTACCTGTTAAGGCAACAGTCTTTAATTTCACAGGACAATACAATTAAGTGAATACAAAACTAACGTTCTGAGAATATTAATTGATCTGTTTTAATAAAATTCCCAACTTATCTGTGACCCTCTACATGACAGATTAAAACTTGGCAGTTGCTGTCCCTTCGGAAAACTTGACACCTTCGTCAGAAAGTATTACAAGAGGACGACAACTCGAATCTAATTTAGCTACTATTTTACAAACTGACGGATATTACAAGATGATCCCCTACTTGGGGCACATTTCCACCTTTCGAGCCACCACACGTGTCATCCGTCTTCGGAATACATTAAGGATCTACACGGTTTCAACACGGTTCGAAAAGAGTTGGAATTCCTTCCACGTTGTAAGACAATAGTCCACCATAAACCCCCGCTGTTTCGAGGGAGAAAAAAACATCCAGAATGTTATGACAGGCATATTTAACGGGCGGTTTAAAAAAAGGAAGCATGCTTGTCGGTGTATTTATATTTAATGACCTCGTCGTATTTATTTATTATCCTTTTGTATTTTAGTGTGCGTAGGTGTGTGTGGCCGAGACGCACTGCATGGGGCTTCAAATATTGGCCGTGAGCAAAACCGCGTTTCGCGAGCCTGAGATTAATCGTCATGGAACGGACGGAATCCGAAAATACCTACGGGTCCGAAATATGTGTAAATAATGCTGCGGGTTGGGGTATCGATAAAACTTCGAGATTGCGATGAAAATTGCAAAATATTTTGTTTTCCTCCGATATCCTTGCTGGAATTTCAACGAGGATGAGTTCGAACGCGCCAAGAAAAAACAACACGGGAACAGCACGAATTGGCATTAAAGTTGTATGGCCTACAGGCAGGCAACACGTATTACAAGTGTGACGTCACAAATGTTCCGTAAAATGGAAAAAATGAGGCTGTTGTCTTATTTGGAGCCAAAGTGACTAGCGAGAGTTTCCACAGTAAAAATTTATAGCTTATTTGCCTTCTTTTACGTAGTATTGTCACGTTGACTGTTTTGATAAAACACGTATATGTATTAATAACAAGTCGTTAATGTTGGGTTATCGGTCCAAAAATGAGGTTGGGGTTCAAGACTGTCAGGTCAAGAATGGAATTTCACCACATTGTTAAAATAAAGAACCATATCTTAATACTTCATTTAGTTACTTTGGGTTAAGAGCATTGTCCATAACTATTATATCTGAGTTTTTGACGTTTTTGTGTAATTGAAAGATCATCGACTTCCATATTCCTCGAATGTTTTCCTTCCTTTTTGAATTTTAACAATCTTACATGAACAAGGTTCTCGATAGCAAACACTAGACGTAGTTATAACACCCGAGAAAGTTTCAACACGACATCATATTGATTTTGTTCAAGAGAATAAAACAGTTTACTTTGAAGTTGCATTCTTTTCCTAGAACGATTTTTAACAATTTTACTCGTCGGTTTTCAAACTGTGCACTAAAATGTTGACGCTTTTAAACCACTGTTTTCGTTCAGTCTGAGGGTGAATTGAGTTTTTTAATAAGAAAGTTCCACGGGACATCCAAGTTAAAATTGACAGGAAGGTTCGGAATGATAAATGATTCTGATGCCAGTTCAGTTTGAAACAAGTTGTCGATTTAGGGATCAGAGGAAAAAAATTACTTGTCGATGGTGTCGCTGATAGGGTCCTCGAGTTTGAATTTATAACACGTGTTCGTCGTGAAACCCTGAAAGAAGCGAACGGTTTGAAAGTGGCGAGAAGCAACAAAAAGTTATAGCTACCCTTGTTCGTGAATAGATTAATGTTTAACGCGAAATCATCAATTTTACATTGTTTGGCTATGTATATAATAAATAAATAAATAAACAAGCTCTAATTTATTTAGACTATGAACTATGCGGTCGTAATTGGATAAAAACTTTTGGCTACATAGCTCGTGGGTGTTTAATTTTCCCAAAAGACTCTATTTTCAGCCCTCATGTCACTTAATGTTTTGAAGAAATGTCAAATAATTTAGAAAAAAATGTTCGCCACGTTGCTTTAATTTTTGCATGTGTTGTCTCTAATTAAAGAAAACTTTTGTTTGTATCGAGAGTTATTTGTAATATTTGAAATTTTTTTAGCCAAAATTAATTAACATATCAAAATTAATCTCAGCGTTGGCAGCATTCTGTTCCTCAAGTATGCGCCTAAAATTCTGCCGAAAACTGTAGATCTTTATCAGAGTATCTACGATCTCGAAAAAACTAGCAGGCAGGAATGCCACAAAGCGGCGCCGAAACTCCACTTATTCCAAATTAATTAAGTGCTGATCCGCATCATGAAGGCCTCGCGATTGTTTTCAAACTTTAATTAATAAAACTGTTTTGGGGAAATCTGAAGGTTTTTCCGTCCCATCTTCGAACGAAATCTCTAATTTTATAAGCCTAATCCGATCTGCCTTAAAGATATGCCTTTGTGCCGCCACAAAGACAGTGAAATTAATTTCGAAGCCTTTGAATTAATTTTGTCCGATGTCGGAACGATAATTTTAAAATAATTTCGTTAAAAGGAACATTGATGTTCATTACGTGGAACTCGTTATCTTTGGCGAGGCACAACGCTCGGAATCCCCGGAATTAAAAAAACACATCTTCGCAGGAAATAAAACAATCAAGCCCACGATGGAAAAAGTTTATTTATCAGAGTTGCTAAGTGGGACAAAACACATCTGAAGTTTTCAGATTACGCGGCCGAAACAACTGACAAATACAAGGAATGATGATGGAGAAAAAAGGACAAGTTTAGAAGTTTAATTCTGCGGCTTAGTTATGCTTTGATTTCGGGTTCTTTAAAATCCTCTGTAGCTGAAATGGGATTGTGCTTTATAGCGTCTCTTTGGGAAATAATCCGACGTGGGCATGATAGAACGTGGATTACTCGCTGCTTGCTCATCTTCTAGTAATACATATTTTAGAATAGTTACCCCAAAGCTCTACAAAATATGAATTCGTATCAATCCCATAATACCTCATGTTTCGTATAGTGTGTCCATTTCATGACGTCAGTAAGGTTCGCATTCTACTATAATTCAATTTTTTTTCAGTCAATGGGGGTTGGTCCCCCTGGTCCGTGTGGACGGACTGCCGGTGCCCCGGAGCGACCCTCTCCGCCGGCAAGATGAGCACCCGCACCTGCAGCCACCCTCCTCCTAGCAACGGCGGTCTTCCTTGCCAAGGATCGAGCGTCCGAAGGACCAAGGATTGTATTCCCTGCCCACAAGGTAGACAGTTTCAATCGTATTCAATTACAAATTTAACAATAAGTAGGAATTGCGTAGACACAAGCTTTCTGCTTATTGTTAAATTAATGCAGACTGTTGCTAACTAACCGCTTGTCCTTTCCTGCTTGTAACGTAGAAGACCTGGTGTTGGATAACGCTTACGACTACGACAGTTACGATAACGGCTACGGTAAATAAACGCCTGAGGAATTGCAACTCGTTTGGTGAATGATTGCGGATTATTTTGTTTTTTGTAGTGGAGCCTCCCAGATGGTCAGCGTGGTCTGAATGGTCTCATTGCAATTCGGATTGTCTGAAGACGAGACGAAGGCAATGTATACCAGGGAATGGGCAAGGTAGGAAGACGTGTAATGGGAGGGACACCCAGACGATTTCTTGTAATACCGAGCAGTGTAGGTCGATGGAGCTGAGTCGAGTGAGAGAAGGTAAGTTTCTGGTTTAGATTAAAAAAAGGACGCTAAACTCTCCAAGAATATTTTAATAGTTTGGTTTTGGCCAAACTGAATTTGGAAGTTCGTGGAAAAAATTTTCTATTATAATTTATAGCTAGTTTTAGTTTTCATTCCCTTGTCGCTTATGGTCGGAAATTAAACCAAATATTGATGGCGAAATAATTAATAATTTCAACGGATGCACATATTTCCGCAAACATGGGTATAATTAGAACGATGCCGAGATACGAATATAATTCGGTACTTTCCCAATAACCAATTTGATGGGTGTATGCTCTAAAATGTCTGTATTTGGATATATCGTACACTGAAAATTTGTTTATATTTACACTAATAATTGAGTGTTAAAATTCTGCAGAAATCTCCGAAGTACATTGTTCGATTGTACCTCGGCAGAGTGTAACTGACAGGATAGTAAATCAAAAATATGTCTTTTTAATGTTTTCTCCGCATTTCCCTTACAAGTAAGTTATGTTATACAATATTTCAAGTAGTGTCGGTTGTGTAAGAACAATGCAGTTGTAAAAATAATACTAGTATCTTATACACCCGTGAAGATAGTATATTTATCATACATGTCTTTGTGATTTATGAGTATTCAGTGAAATTGCACGTTTCCAGCGATTGCGAAACAAGTACGGGTATAATAAAATGAATGAAAGTAAAAAAAAACTCACTTGTGCTAGGACGACGGTAATTAAACGACATAAAGCTGAGACATCATTTAACGGTAATTTTTAAAAATATAAGTGGTTTATGGATCTGCCTTGATTTTTTGTTTTTCCTAGACAACCAAATTTTCTTCATTTTTTGTCGATTACGAAATTCTTCACTCAGTAAAATAAACAATCTAAAAATTTCGTTGTTAACAGTTTGACTACTTGGGAGTTCCCAGAGAATTTTTCTTTCTAAACCGCACTCGCACGTCATAGTTTACCTTAAAAACAATCGCATTCCAGTCCCTCATCCCGCTGGCTATTGCCTTTTAACAAACAATCGCTTTTTTGTACCTCACCTCGTGCCCGAGAAACGCAAATCATCGTTATTTTGATTAAAAACAATCCCATAACTAATTGTTAAACAAAGCGGCCTATTAAAATTACGTGATATTGTTCCACGGACCGATAAAATCTAATTAGTCGACCTCTCGGTAATTACGAACCTTTCACGCATACTTAAACCTAAGCTCAGACCTTTCCGTTTCTCATTTCGTCGTTCAATTGTGTTTTTATTTCTGAATTACTTCCTCGGCCTGAACTCCGGCAACCGGTGTATTTTTTCCCATGCACTGGGCAAAGAGGAGGTGTCAGTTTCATAGACGTTCGGAATGAGTCCCTATTAATTAACCCGTCCGGACTAAAACCGGAAATCAATATGGGTTTTGGCTTCGGTGTCGCGATGATGACCCAGCAGACCGCAGTGGACATAACTCGGGATTAACGTCGACATTTGGCAGCCGGTTATGACGCCTAGAAATGTTAATATTGACTGCCATCGGAACGGATTAAGCGCTGGTGTCACCCCCGTTACCGCAGGGCATTTCTTCACATGGTTGGCATGGCATAGGGGATACAGGGTGGAACAAAATTGCGGCACCACCGAGAATTCCAAAATGAATGAAAAGTTTATTCGCGTTAGTTCAGTATGTTGTGTAAGATAACGTGATTAGTTGGTTTCAAATTTTGAATTGCCAGGGCAGTTAAAAAAATTTCTTTTCGAAGATTAAATGTATTCTAATAAATAATGTTTCTTATTCTACAGAAGCATATTATGTGTTTGTGATATACGGTGAATGTGTTAGTTTTATTATTATTATTAATAAAAGTAAACGATAGCATTACTTGGAAAACAAAAATTGACTTATTTTAAGGTGAAGCCGCAACTGGAATAATTGCTCTAAATAACTAAATTGGATAATTAAATTTTACACATTAAAATCACTCGTTCTCCTCGTTGTTACGATTCACCCTCTGTTTCTGTAACGCCAGAAGTCACATACCTACCTTACTGTAGAAAAATAGATAACCTCAGCTAGAGATATTATCGAAAAACCTGAGAACAATCCCAAGAGCCCCCCACAGCTGGCCCAAAAGTCAGCATTGCTGAACAATTCTTGTCTTTCCATTACTTGTAGTTCTTCATCTTTAAACGTAATTTCTATATCAGAAGGTTTATCTCGAAATGGGTTATCAGGTTCTTTAGCTTGATGGGTTTCTGCATTATACGTTATGGAGGTACATAAAGGAAGACAGTTACATTTTCCGAACACTTTTCTGTTCTTTTTGGAGCTAACCATCTTGAAGGTATCTTCTACAAAAGAGATAGATTCCTTTAGAAATATGCTAGTATTTTCTAAATTTTCAAATGATACCCTTAGCTTTCCTTACGCATCTTAGTTTTCCGAGTCCACATATTTCCGTAGATTCTTCATCTATCAAAAATATTATATTATCATAATTTTTATTTCAGGAAGTTTTATTAGAACTTACGTGGTAGATAATAAGGAACACAGTTACATTGCTCTAAAGTTCTGTTAGCAATGCACTCTAGCCTGCAGTTGTGTTTGGTATATATTTTAAAGAACTTCAAGCGTCGTTCGTAAGAATAAACGCATGTCCTTTTATTTTGTTCGTAACTTTCCAAATTTTCGGAAGTTATGACGATTTCAGGTGTGACCCAAATGTTATAGATCGTGTCGAATGATATAGGAATGTATCTAGTTGCTAGTGTTGGAAGCTCCGCTGGATGGTGTAGGAAAAGTTTGTATCCGGACGCTGTATTACAGTGTAGGTTTTCTTCAGACTTTTTTGTCATCATAGTGAAACGAAAGTTTGTGAACTCTGATCCTCTTGGCGGAATTGTATCATTTTGCATTTCGTCGTAGTTTTTGTCAATGTTCCAGTGAGAACTTCTACGATGTACTGAGTGGTTCTTGTGTAAATATCTGTAATAGATATATTCTCAAAAGAATAAAAATACCAGATAATACTTGCGTGATCTGAGTGAAAAGTTCGCTTTTATCTAACATATTGAACGAATAACAAAGGCCAAAGTCTGTAAGGGTTGGAAAAAATAAATCTGAATATTGGTCCAGAGTAGTACCCCAAACAATTTCGTCCAATGTGGGTGCGTGCTGCAAATTGTGACATACACCGTTATGTTTACCATGTTATGAAATTCTTACTGCAAGTACAAAATCAATTCCATTCAAATCTATAGTGTGTTTAGATACAGGCATATAGTCGTTTCCGCGTATATGCTTGTTACAGAATTACATAAAGTCCATGAAAAGGTTCTTTCTGAAATGCAATGCAATATTAAGAGTGATTTACTTAACTCTTCAAAGAATACTCTTCTTCCCTGAGATTTTTCGTCACAAGTTTATCAAAGTAATAGCTTGCGTTATACATTCCTTGTTTAACCATTATTTCTGGACAAACGGTAATAGCAGGGAATGGCACATCCCATAAATACATAGGGTGTTGGCTAGAACTTATAAAGATTGGATATTCATCCCGCTTCTTCAATGTTGATATTATCAAATTTGCACACACGTAGAAACAACCGCAGATAATCACTGACCACCATATTCTGATAAAAGTTGTTTAGTAAAAGAACACTTTCAAACATGTACTCACTTTTCTAAAACTAGTCTTATCCTTTCAGCGAAATATCTAAATCCATGGATACTTGTATTGTCGCAAAAGCCCGCAAGATAAGTTAAAACTTTTTTAGTTTTACTGTTACCATTATCCACTTATTCGTTTTTTGTATCCATTGTTGGATGTTAAAATATGACTGACACAATTCTCGTGGATAAATTCAACTGAAACTGGGATTAATTTAAATTAAAGGTGCTCCTACTATCCAGGGACACATTTCGTAATAGTATGCTAAAAGCTTACATGCAATGAAAACGCATGCATTTTATAAAGTGTACATTAAATAATTAACCTGAAATAAATCTGTACCTTTCTTTGTCTAAAATGTATTGTGGTACAAAAATTTCGATCACGGTAATGAATCATTGATTGTTAAATATGTAGGTTCTATAAAGACGTGCCAATGTTAACTTAAATTAGCAAGGATTTTTATTTAATAACGTTACAGAGTATAGTTAAATTTATACAAGGCTCAAAATTATACGTCCCTTTGGCGTTGTACTGTAATATATGTCAGTATAATAATAGCGTGTTTGCGCAAAACATTTTCTTATAAATTTTTTCTTATGCTTACACTTATCCTTATAACTATGTCTTATAATTATAACACTCACAATCGATACTTCTTATATTGACAATAGTAGATTTTTTCTACAATGTCAGTCAGTGTCATTTAGAACTTTAATTAGTTATGTCGCAACTGAAAAAGAAACGATTTCGATTCTCAGAGAGGGAACGTATAAGATGTTTGAATGCATTATTCGACCTTCTTTGCGAGACTGAATTTACAAACGAAGAAGATGTGTGGAAAAAACTTCATGCAGTCGTAAGTGAAGACGAAAGAGAGCGCTTTCAGAACTGTAGCTTCAAATTATTAAAAGATCATATGTTGGAACAAGTAATAAAATTTAGAAAATTTGATGCCGACGAAGCTACAGAAAGTGGGAAAGAACGGATACAGACTGAGTGGGGCGACGCTGTTAGAAAACTTCTGACTGTCTGGTCGCAATATGAAGATGTGGCACAAATTGACATAGAAAATAAAAAAAATGAACGGGGTAAAAAAAGATGCAGTGGCCAAAAATTCGACGAGGTTATGCCTGCAAAAGCAATTCGCCAAGCTGCTCTGCAAAGTTTGGACAATCCTATTGAAAGTTGTAATAGTGAACAAATATTAGAAACAGAAGCCACTGACGTGGACAATGAAATATTTTTTCACACTGTTGACGATTTTAATGACACTGATATTGATGGTGAGCGTGGGGGTCGTGAAGGGTTCAACCAAGAATCTAGCAGGGTTTATACAGCAGCAGCACGAAAGACGAGAAATGGAACTAAAGATGGAACAAGTTTTTCATATTTAATTGAAAAAATGAAACGGGAAAGTCAGCTACAACAAGAACAATTAAGATTTAAAGAAAAGCAACATCAAGATAATATGAAAATTCAAATAGAAGAGTTGGAATTCAAAAAAGCTAAACTTGAGTTCGAACAGAAAAAATGGCAAGAGGAGGAAGAGGGCCGTAAAATAGAAAGACAAAAAAATGCAATTTTAAACAGATTTTTGGAAAACATTTTAACACAAAATTTAAATAATAAAAATCTGACATAATTTTTGAAATAATTACAGCTTTTAAATGTTTATTTAATAATAACATATTAATTAAAGGTAACTGTTTGATTAAAAAGAAATTATTGAAAATATTCCATAATATCTAGTGATTCTATATCGAAGTATCGAGAAGTTGTGCTTCCATAAAAACATGTATGCGCATTCGTTAGTAATGTAGCCACAATATAATACTGACCTATTGGTTGCAGAAAAAGTTTTTGATTTTTTTTTAAATCAACAAACGCAAATTGCGTTGTTATTTTACCAAAACTCCATTCTACGCATTGGCGTATTTTGGACATTTTGGTATTAAACATTTGTTGCTGCTCTGTTAAATTATGATTAGAAAATGGTCTTATTAATTGTTGCACTAATGGATACCCTTCGTCTCCGTATAAACAAAACTGTGGGCAATGGAGCTTCATTTGCTCTAAGATTTTTGAATTTTTAAGGATAAAAGAGTCATGTCGTCTGCCAGAATACGGAGGACTTAAATGTAAAATGATACCGTTTGGAACGGTGATTGATTGAAATTTCAGACAATGTATTCTTTTATGCCCGCTGTAAACTTCTTTTTGAAATTTTGATGGTCTACAAATTGCCCGGGCAGTACCATCGATAAACCCAATGCAATTTCTTAAAGGAGCACCTTTCTTATGTACGAAGGCAGCCACCTCTGCGAGAAAACCTTGCGTTAACCATATGTTTTTATCAAAATTTAATAATAACTTGGCCCATTTCTTGAATATAAAAGTAACAACAAACTTTAAAATTTTACTGATTGACGAAAAATGTAATCCAAATTCATTTTGCAATCCTTTTAGTCTGTTTGGGTAAGAAAATCGTCTTAAAACGAGACATAATCCTGCAAGACCTATAAATGAAGAGTGTTTAAAAATACGGAATTTCTTCTCGATTGTAGATAATAATAAACCTTCAATGACATGACCATCTGGTGTAACCCATTTTGCAGGCATTTGCAAAGCTTGATGTAATTTAATTATATGTTCTTTTTCAAATCGAAAAAGAAAACGAAAGTTTTCTGGCGGAATGCTATTCATGTTGAATTTAACACACGTATATGAATAACGCTTTTCTGTTAACTCTTTTTGTATTAACTGATGCACTAAGTAGTTCTGTACATCTTCTGTATTGCCAAAAGTAGCCAAAATTTCTAAATTATTCATGGGCAAAATGAATCAATTTGCGTGACAGAAAGTCAGTTCTGCTTGTCAATGTAAGGTTCTAAGCCGTCAGCATAACTGTTACAATTTATACTTATAACTATAATTATAAATTATAATTGTAAGCATAAGGAAAACTTTATAAGAAAAGGTTTTCGCAAACATGCTAATATGGCATAAAAAGTTACAATGTGATTATATTAGGGTTACATAAAAACTATCTACCACCTTTTGGAAATCTTAAATAGATTTATATTCGGTCGCGTGCAAGCAATGAAAATAATAATCATTCAGTCTGACCTAATGAGAAAGTTATATTAAACCATGACCTATATCTTATTACTGAATTAAAAATGTAATACTCCTAATATAATTAATTGCTAGTGTTGGAAGCTCCGCTGGATGGTGTAGAAAAAGTTTGTATCCGGACGCTGTATTACAGTGTCGGTTTTCTTCAGACTTTTTTGTCATCATGGTGAAACGAAAGTTTGTGAATTCTGATCCTCTTGGCGGAATTGTATCATTTTGCATTTCGTCGTAGTTTTTGTCAATGTTCCAGTGAGAACTTCTACGATGTACTGAGTGGTTCTTGTGTAAATATCTGTAAAAGATATATTCTCAAAAGAATAAAAATACCAGACAATACTTGCGTGATCTGAGTGAAAAGTTCGCTTTTGTCTAACATATTGAACGAATAAAAAAGGCCAAAGTCTGTAAGGGTTGGAGAAAATAAATCTGAATATTGGGCCGGGGTAGTACCCCAAACAATTTCGTCCAATGTGGGTGCGTGCTGCAAATGGTGACATACACCGTTATGTTTACTATGTTATGAAATTCTTACTGCAAGTACAAAATCAATTCCATTCAAATCTATAATGTGTTTAGATACAGGCATATAGTCGTTTCCGCGTATATGCTTGTTACTGAATAACATAAAGTCCATGAAAAGGTTCTTTCTGAGATGCAATGCAATATTAACAGTGATTTACTGTTAACTCTTCAAAGAATACTCTTCATCCGTGAGATTTTTCGTCACAAGTTTATCAAAGTAATAGCTTGCGTTATACATCCCTTGTTTAACCATTATTTCTGAACAAACGATAATAGCAGGGAATGGCACATCCCATAAATACATAGGATGTTGACTAGAACTTATAAAAATTGGATTTTCATCCCGCTTCTTCAATGTTGATATTATCAATTTTGCACACACGTAGAAACAACCGCAGAGAATCACTGACCACCATATTCTGATAAAAGTTGTTTAGTAAAAGAACACTTTCAAACATGTACTTACTTTTCTAAAACTAGTCTTCTCCTTTCAGCGAGAAATCTAAATCCATGGATACTTGTATTGTCGCAAAAGCCCGCAAGATAAGTTAAAACTTTTTTAGTTTTACTGTTACCATTATTCACTTGTTCATTTTTTGTATCCATTGTTGGATGTTAAAATATGACTGACACAATTCTCGTGGATAAATTCAACTGAAACTGGAATTAATTGAAATTAAAGGTGCTCCTACTATCCAGGGACACATTTCGTAATAGTATGCTAAAAGCTTACATGCAATGAAAACGCATGCATTTTATAACGTCTACCTTAAATAATTAACTTGAAATAAATCTGTACCTTTCCTTGTCTAAAATGTATTGTGGTACAAAAATTTCGATCACGATAGTGTATCATTGATTGGTAAACATGTAGGTTCTATAAAAACGTGCCAATGTTAACTTAAATTAGCAAGGATTTTTATTTAATAACGTTACAGAGTATAGTTAAATTTATACAAGGCTCAAAATTATACGTCCCTTTGGCGTTGTACTGTAATATATGTCAGTATAATAATATGGCATAAAAAGTTACAATGTGGTTATATTAGGGTTACATAAAAACTATCTACCTTGGAAACCTTAAATAGATTCATATTCGGTCGCCTGCAAGCAATGAAAATAATAATCATTCAATGTGACCTAATGAGAAACTTATATTAAACCGTGACCTATATCTTATTACTGAATTAAAAATGTAATACTCCTAATATAATTATATAATATTAGAAGCTTATATATTAATTGATTAAATACAGCATAATCTTAACACATATTAAAAATACAAGTATATAAGAAGAATAATCACTCTTTTTCGTTGACATTACGTTTCCCTGATTCTTTGTTTCTACAACATTTGCCTTTTCCAGCACGCCAGAAATCATGTATCCATCTTATTGTTGAAAAATAGATAATCTCAGCTAGAGATACCACGGAAAACCCTGTGAACAACCCTAAGAGCCCCCCACAACTGGCCCAAAAATCAGAATTGCTGAACAACTCTTGTCTTTCCATTACTTGCAGTTCTTCATCTTTGAACATAAAATTGATCTGTGATCTGTTTTCTAGACGAGGATCAGCAAAATTTCTAGCTTCGTAGTTTTCTGTATGGTACGTTATGGAAGTACATAATGGAAGACAGTTACATTCTCGGAATATTTTTCTGTTCTCTTTGGATTTAACCATTTTGAAGGCTTTTTCTGCTAAACAACATTACTTTAGACAAATACCAATATGTTCAATATTTTCAAATTATACCCTTGGCAAGCTCCATGCATTTCTGTTGTCTCATTCCACATATTTTCGTGCCTTGTTCATCTGCCAAAACATTGAATTAAGTACAACGACAATTAATTAAACACAGTTTTCCAAAGTGTTGAGACTTACGTGGTAGGTAATAAGGAATACAGTTACATTGTTCTAAAGTACTGTTAGCAATACACTCAAGTTTACAATTGTGTTTTGTATATATTTTAAAAAACTTCAACCGCCGTTCGTGAGAATAAACGCAGCTTCTTTTGCTTGGTTCGTAGCTTTCCAGTTTTTGAGACGTTATTGTCAATTCAGGTTTGATCCAGATGTTATGTGTTGAATCAACTGATATAGGGATATAGCTAGGTGCTAATGTTGGAAACTCAGCTGGATGATGTAAAATAAGTTTAAATCCTAACATAAGATTACAGAACCCGTTTACATCAGCACCTTTTGCTTTCAGAAATAACTGAAATTTTGTAAATTCTGATGCTCTTTGCGGAATTGTAGCATTTTGTATTTCGTCGTAATTCTTGTCAATGTTCCAGTGAGAACTTTTACGATGTATTGAATGATTTTTATGTAAATACCTATGTTAAATATATTGTTATAAGAATAAAAATTAGGAGACAATACTTACGTGACCTCGGTGAATAGTTCGTTTTTGTCTAACATATTGAACGAATAGCAAAGGCCAAAGTTGGTAAGGGTTGGAGAAAATAGATCCAAATATTTAAATGGAAGAGCATGCCATATAACTTCTTTCATTGTGGGGGCATGCTGCAATTTATAACACACACGGTCGTGTTTAAAATATTACCAAATTCTTACTGCAAGTATATAATCAAGCGTTTGTAAATCTACAGCAGTGTGTTTATATCTAGGCAACGGCAATTCGCAAAATAACATAACACCCAAAACACGATTCTTTCTGGAAACCATTATAGTATTATTAGTTCGATATTGTTTCTCTTAATACTCTTCATCCGTGATATTCTTCTCCCTAATTTTCGCAATGTGATTGTTTACATCGTACATGCTCTTTTTAATTTTTATTTCTGAACAAATCGTAACAGCAGGAAACGGCACATCCCACAGGTACCCTGGATTTAGGCTAGAACTTGTAAAAATTGGATTTTCATCCCGCCTCTTCAATGTTGATGCTATCAAATTTCCACACATGTAGAAACAACCGCAGAGAATCACTAACCACCATATTCTAAAAAAAATATTTTAGTGACAGAAGTCTGCGAAACATTTGCTTACTTTTCTGAAACTGGTCTTCTACTTTCAGCGAGATATCTAAATCCATGAATACTTGTATTGTTGCAAAAATTAGTAAGATAAGTTAAAACTTTTTTAGTTTTACTGTTAGAACTATCCACTTGAACGTTTTTCAGGTCCTCTGAATGTACCTTCATTGTTGAATATTAAAAGTTGACTAAAAACATTCTCCGGGATGTATCCAGTCGAAACCGGGATTAATTGAATTGAAAGCTGCTCCCACTACCTGGGGACGCATTTATTAATGTGGTAAAATTAATTAGTAATAAAAAAATACACAATTTCAACGAAGTGTAGCTTAAATAATTAACTTTAAGTAAGCCCGTGTAAATTTCTTTCTATAGTGACATGCCACGGTCAATTTGGTGCATCTTACAAAAACAAGTTATTTAATTAAATAAGCAAAGATCTTTATTTATAGTATACTTATTACAACAAAATTATAAAAGTGCTTCCAATATAAGCTAGTTTAAGTAAGATTAAAATACCAGAAATCTTACATTATATGATTAAAAACAACATAATCTTCACACATAAAATGTGGTCGAAGGTTATTTCGACAGAATCCCTTGCCCTGAAGTACAGTCCAACATATCCCGCTTCTTTGAGAAATCAAAAAATTGATTTTGTGAATTTTTATTTGTGATAACCTTCATACATTAAGACAAATATAGATAAGTAGTGCCAGTAACAGTCTAAGAAGCTAAATAACATCCTCTAAATAAGTTTTGATACCTTATAATTTTTTTTGTTTGTCTTCGACATCCCACTTTTTTTTAATGACTCGATATTTATTTTTTTAGAGATTCTTGTAGATATTAGTTTTCTGAATACATTAATGCGTCATATACTAATTACCCAAATCTGCCACTGATTCCTACGCTTATGTTAACTAGCAAACAAACTTGAGAAAACATAAAAGTCGCCATTCGTCCTAAGGGACCCGATTACAATGCTTCCTTAGCTTACGCTCAGGAAGTAATAAAACTATATAAGAAGACTCATCACTCTTTTGCCTTGTTAGATTCCGTTGACTGCTTATTTCTACGATACCAGCGTTTTCCAAAACACCAAAAATCATACACCCACCTGACTGCGGCAAAATAAATAATTTCAGCAAGAGATATCACCGAAAATCCTGTAAACAATCCCAAGAGGCTGCCGCAGCTGGCCACAAAGTCAGCATTGCTGAACAATTCTTGTCTTTCCATTACTTGTAGTTCTTCATCTTTAAACTTAATTTCTACATCAGAAGGTTTATCTCGAAATGGGTTATCAGGTTCTTTAGCTTGATGGGTTTCTGCATTATACGTTATGGAGGTACATAAAGGAAGACAGTTACATTTTCCGAAGACTTTTCTGTTCTTTTTGGAGCTAACCATCTTGAAGGTATCTTCTACAAAAGAGATAGATTCCTTTAGAAATATGCTAGTATTTTCTAAATTTTCAAATGACACCCTTAGCTTTCCTTGCGCATCTTAATTTTCCGAGTCCACATATTTCCGTAGATTCTTCATCTATCAAAAATATTATATTATTATAATTTTTATTTCAGGAGGTTTTATTAGAACTTACGTGGTAGATAATAAGGAACACAGTTACATTGCTCTAAAGTTCTGTTAGCAATGCACTCTAGCCTGCAGTTGTATTTGGTATATATTTTAAAGAACTTCAAACGTCGTTCGTAAGAATAAACGCATGTCCTTTTATTTTGTTCATAACTTTCCAAATTTTCGGAAGTTATGACGATTTCAGGTGTGACCCAAATGTTATAGATCGTGTCGAATGATATAGGAATGTATCTAGTTGCTAGTGGTGGAAGCTCCGCTGGATGGTGAAGAAAAAGTTTGTATCCGGACGCTGTATTACAGTGTAGGTTTTCTTCAGACTTTCTTGTCATCATAGTGAAACGAAAGTTTGTGAATTCTGATCCTCTTGGCGGAATTGTATCATTTTGCATTTCGTCGTAGTTTTTATCAATGTTCCAGTGAGAACTTCTACGATGTACTGAATGGTTCTTATGTAAATGTCTATAATAAACATATTTCTCAAAAGAATAAAAATACAAGATAATACTTGCGTAATCTCAGTGAAAAGTTCGCTTTTGTCTAACATATTTAATGAATAACAAAGGCCAAAGTTTGTAAGGGTTGGAGAAAATAAATCTGAATATTGCATTGGAGTAGTGTACCAAACAATTTCTTCCAATATGGGAGCGTGCTGCAAATTGTGACGTACACCGTTATGTTTACTATGTTATGAAATTCTTACTGAAAGTACAAAATCAATTGCATCTAAATTTACAGTGTGTTTAGACACAGGCATATACTCGGTTTCGTGTATATACTGGTTACAGAATAACATAAAGTCCATGAAACTGTTCTTTTGAAATGCAGTGTAATAATAAAAGGGATACACTATTAATTCCTCAATGAATACTCTTCATCTGTGAGTTTTTTCGTCAAAAATTTCCAAAAGTAATGGCTTGCGTTATACATCCCTTGTTTAATCTTTATTTCTGAACAAACGGATTACCGTTTTATTTATATTACCGCTATTAAGCAGGGAACGGGACATCCCATAAATACATAGGGTTTTGACTGAGACTTGTAAAAACTGGATTTTCGTCACGTTTCTTTAAAGTTAATATTAACAAGTTTCCACAAACATAGAAACAACCACAGAGAATCAATAATCACCATATTCTGAAAAAACATAGTTTACTTTAAAAAATACCTTGGACGATTCTTTTACTTTTCTGAAACCGGTCTTCTACTTTCGGCGAGAAATCTAAATCCATGAACACTTGTGTTATTGCAAAACTCCGCAAGATATGCTAAAACTTTTCTAGTTTTATTTTTACGATTATCAACTTCATTTTTTGAATCCATTATTTTATGACTAACAGAATTCTTGTGGATAAATCCAACTGAAACCGGGATTAATTGAATTAAAGCTGCTCCTATTGCCCGGGGACATATTTCCTAATTTGTTAAAAGCTTACAGCAATGAACACCCGTGCATTTTAAATAATGTGTAGATTAAATAATTAAGGCGTCAGTATTAAATTTATTTGATACAACAAAATTAAAAGAACAAAAATCTTTTGTCGTTACATCTGCCGTTTCCAAAAGGCCATAAATCACCCAACCATCTTATTGTCACAAAATAGATAATTTCAGCCAAAGATATCACCGAAAACCCTGCGAACAACCCTAAGATCCCTCCACAGCTGGCCCAAAAGTCCGAATTGCTGAACAATTCCTGTCTTTCCATTACTTGCAGTTCTTCATCTTGGAACGATAAATATACATCTGTCGGTTTAGCCATGTAAGGATTTTCGGGGTATTTAACTTGATGGGCTTCTGCGCTGTAGGTTATAGAAGTACATAGAGGAAGGCAGTTACATTGTTTTAACATTTTCCTGCTGTTTATAGATCTAGAGTTTCTGAGGATTTGCTCTGCGAAAGAGTTAAGTTTCTTTACAAACATTCTAATATTCTAGAATTTCAAATTATACCTTTAGCATTGGACACGCATTTTAGTTGCCCCCATCCACATATTTTTGTAGATTCTTCATCTGCCAATGTAACTGTAAAATCAATCAAAATGTTTTTGAAACTTACGTGGTAAATAATAGGGAATGCAATTGCACAGTGCTAAAGTATTATTAGCCACACATTCGATTTTACAGTTGTGCTTGGTATATACTTTAAAAAACTTCAACCGTCTTTCGGGAGAGTAAAAACAGTTCCTTTTGTGATATTCGTAATTTTCTAAATTTTCAGACGTTATTGTCACTTCAGGCTTGATCCAAATGTTATATATTGTGTCTAAAGACAAAGGAATATATCTGGTTGTTAACGTTGGAAACTCAGCCGGATGATGTAAAATAAGTTTGTATCCTGAAAAGGGATTACATATCCGGGTTTCTTCAGATGTGTCTGTCCCAAGGCCTAAACTAAACTCTGCAAATTCTGACGCTCTTGGTGGAAAAGCACTATTGTGTATTTCGTCGTAGTTTTTGTCAATATTCCAATGATAAATTTTGGGATGCACCAAATGGTTTTTATGTATATACCTACGAGAAAAATTTTTGCATAATAATAAAGCGTTGAAGACAATATTTACGTGGTCTCAGTGAAAAGTTCACTTTTGTCTAACATATTGAACGAATAACAAATACCGAAGTTGGTGAGGGTTGGTGAAAAGTGATTGAAATATAGTTGTGGATCAGTATACTCTACAACATTTTTAAGTAAGGGGGCGTGCTGTAAATAGTAGTATACATAATAAATTTCATTCTGTCACAAATAATCTTACCCCAAAGATAACATCAAGTGTTTTTAAATCTACAGTGTGGTTCGTTACAGCCACATCTTTGGATCCTTCTATAGGTGCAAGTCCGCGATTGCAAAATAAAAGCACATCCAATACACGTTGTTTTCTAAAATTCAGAATACATTAACGGTTACATATTTTCTTGTTCCGTAGTGGCTACTCTTCATCCGTTAAATTCTTCATCAAAAATCTCCCAAAGTAATCAGTTACGTTGTACTCGCTTTGTTTAATTTTTATTTCTGAACATATGGTAACAGCGGGAAACGGGACGTCCGATAGATACATTGGAGTGTGGCTAAAACTTGTAAAAACTGGATTCTCGTCCCGTTTCTTCAAAGTTAGCATTATCAAAGTTCCACATAAGTAGATACATCCACAAAGAATTAGTAGCCACCAAATTCTGAAAATAACCTACTTCAGTCAAAGAATACAATCAAACAGTCGTACTGAAACTGGTCTTCTACTTTCAGCGAGATATCTAAATCCGTGAATACTCGTCTTGTTGCAAAATTCAGCAAAACATACCAGAACTTTGTTCGTTTTACTGTCGACGTTATTCACTTGATCGTTTTTTGTTTCCACTGACATTGTTAAAATATGAGTAATAAATTAGAGAAAACGGGCTATCGTCAGGGGACACACACTAAAACTTGTGTGAGTAATGAAAACACGCGTACTTTATATGAAATAAAAAGTTGTTAACTAATAAGGTTCGTTGAGGCAATTTGTTATCCTTGAGAATCAACTAGCCCGTGCGCGCTCTCGTACTGCATATCTAGGAAACAGTCAAAGAAATCTAGTTCTCTAAGAATTCTTCAATAGGCTGAGGTCCAATTACAGAAAACTGGACGTGTACAAACACTCAGAGCTGGGAATCGAACCCATGACCCACCCGAGTCTAATTTTAATTTTGTTTGCGAAAATCTGGATGTTTTAGTGGATTCATAAACCACAAATATAGGAGCATCAATATAAAATATAAAATAATAGTTATTTGCTATAATTAAAATATTATAAATGTTACAGTACAGGAAAAAGACTGGCAGTTATGTAATAACTAATAAAGCAAGAGTGAAACCCTTCTCATGCCGACAGTCGCACCGCCATAACCTAAATACGACCTCTCTCAGGCTCCTCTTTCCTGTTCTTGCTAAGTATAATAACTTCCTAAGCCGTGTGGAATTATATGCATATTGCGTATTACAGCTCGGAATTTATCAAAAGAAAATTTGCATATTCTAGCATCCGAAAAATGGGGCATTTTGAAGGGCTTTGTTCCCAGCCACTCGCACAAGAACCCACAAGTAATTTTCCCTCCGATTACTTGTTACTTCTAATGCAACACACATGTAATTAGTTTTAGTGGGGCGGCGGCAATTGGGGGTGTGATGTCGACGCGCCGTCGAAACCCTGCAATTGATGCGAAAATGATTGACTAATATACAATTACATCATCATTGACTTAAAGGCATTTATCAGAATTCCTGGGGCGTGAGCAGGAGCACGCGTAGGAATTTCGTTAAGATTTAAATAAAGCTCCCCCGTGTTGGGGTGAGGTCGGCGGCTTTTGTCGGTTTTGAGGGTGAAAGCACGAAGAGCCGGAATATTTCCATATGTGACAAGGGTGAATACTCGCGGAGTACCATTACATTTCTATATGCGAATATATGACGAAATAAAACGATATATGGTGGCGGAGAAAGCTGCTTAAGCTCTGTTGTGTTGTGAAACATAATAAGACGGAGCTTTGTGCGAGTTGTAATTTAGCAACTTATTAATCGGAGGCAAATTGCCGCCCGTTCCATGGCGGGAATATTTGATGAATTGCGACGAGGATAATGCAAATATCCTCGATTTAACTTGCACAATGAGTGAGCTCGAGTGGAGAGTCTTAGAACATGTTAGTTGTTGCGAAATTGTAGAATAAAGAGCCCTCGTTGTCCTTCAGACAACTTCAATTATAAATGCACCCTCGAATCTACTCCGTTTCCACCCTCTGTGACGATTTCGTGCCGATTCTGATGGGTGTGTCGATTGGACTGATGCCAATTTGCTGGCTTTAATTGGTCTCCGAGCGTTTTTAACCTTTTTTAGCCAAACCTTAATTTCTCACGCTGGTAACTCGCTATAACGCTAGATCTAATTACAAGTAAGCAAGGCGTTTGATCACTCCCCAAAGGGACAAAATACATTAGATGAGATCAGGTCAGATCAAAGAAGGTCAAATTAGACTTTAAACCCAAATTTATTTCGTAATTGATCAAGTCAGGTGATGTCAGATGAAGTCACATCAAGTCAGGTCACGTCCGATCATGTCATATCGAGTTGGTTTACGTCAGATCAGGTCACATCAAGTCGGGTCATGTCAGATCTAGTCACATCAAGTTCGGTTACGTTAGGTGGTGTAAATGTTAGATCAATCACAACTGAGCAAAACTTTTGATCATTGGATAAAGGGAGTGTAAAGTCAGATCAGATCAGTTCAGGCCAAGTCAGGTCAGCTCAGATCAGAATTCAAACCAAAATTTCTTTAAAACTTGATCCAGTTAGGTCACTTTAGATGTGGTCAGTTGTTTACGTCGAGTCAGGTCACGTCAGCCCATCTCATACCAAGCTGGATCACGTCAGATGGTGTAATACTATATCTTATTACAACTGCGCAAGACGTTTGATCGTTGGACGAAGGGAGTGAAAAAAAATTCCTAGATCAATTTTTTTTTAAACATTGGCTAGGCCAAAAAAGATCAGGGCGTCAGATAGAATCAGGTCAGGTCAAGTCAGATCAGCTAAGACTGAATCAGCTCAGATCAACCAAAATATCTTTAAAAATTAATTTGATCATATCATGAAAAATGTTTGACTGATGGACAAAGGGAGGTAAATGTTTTTCAAAAGTGGTCAAGTCAGGATAGCTTAGATCACGTCAAAGCAGATCAGAGTTTAGGCTATAATTTACTTCAACACTGATCAGAACAGGTCAAGTTATAACAGGACCGTTCGAGGTACTTCAGATTATATCAAGGTCGTCAAATCAGTTTAAGTCAAGCCAGGTGAAATAAAAAATTATGTACTATCTACATCACCGTGTAACTTGACTGTTACCCCTAACATGGTTACCCCTAGAGGAATGGACCACTATTTAGGGGCTGCATTCGTTGCAGTAGATCGACGTGTTGTGCTTGGCTGGACTAACACAACTGACCCGACTTAGGATTGTGCTTGGCAGGGCTTAGGCAATGCTATTGCCTTCCCGACAGCGCACTACGCTTGGCAAGACTTACGCAATCCTCACCGCTTCCCGCAAGAATTGCACTTGTAATTCCTTCTAGGACGAGCGGATCACACAGAGAGCCGCAATTTCGCCCCACTCGAAACCAGAGGATTAAGAGGGCTTATCAATTGCATTTACCGTCACTGCCACAATTACGCCGAGCGAGGCATTTTATTCTGTGACGAGAAGATCACCCAGAGAACCACAATTCTACTCCACCCGACACGAGAGGATTACGAGTGCTTACGAATTGCAGTTAGTCGCTGCCACGATTATGCTGAGGACCTCATTCCTTCCGCGAAGAGCGAATTGCGCAGAGAGCCGCAATTCCACTCAACACATACCAAAATCATGCAGTTCTTTAAGCAGCACACTAAGACTATTTTTAATTGTGCGCACTGCTCTCTTGAGGCCCAACATACAGCTTATTTAAATGGAACCTCCTGCTTTTCGTAAAACTCACAAGCAAATTTTATTCATTAAAATTTTGATTTTTTTGAAATTTTTAACTCTGTGCAGCAATATTTTATGCATAAATAAATAATAAATGTAATAATAAAACTGACTTCTATAAAGTGTCTATATTACACCTAACCTGATCTGATCTGCCATGAGTTAATGTGACCGGATCACTTTTAAAAGAAATTATGGTCTAAGTTCTGATCTGAGCTGACCTAATATGACTAATTTGAACTAAACTGACTCCTTTTGAAAGAAATAATTTTGATCTAGCTGTATTTACTTCTCTTTGTCCATCAATCAAACGCCTTGGTGAGTTGTGACCTGATCTGTCATGACCTGACTTGATATGACCGGATCTGACGTCCTAACTTGATCAATTTTTTAAGAAATTTTGGTTTATATCATAACAGAAAAATAGCAAAAACGATGAACTTCGGATATAGAGCATGTTCTTTTACTTATATGTTTTGAGTGATATTTACTCAAGAAAGTTTTGAGATAATTTTTTTTAATAAAGGAAGACGATTATATTCTCCTAAACCGCTAAATGAAAAAAAAATTAAGGAAGTTCGTAATCTAGTTGCTCAGATTCGTCGTATATTTTTATTATGGTAACTTTTTTTTTTAAACAACCCCTATATGTTAGGATAAAGCTAAGGCGGAGCTTTTTACGAGTCTGATGCATTACATTATCCACACTCTGTATATCTCGCGCCTCATTTTTTCCACATTTCCCTCCTGGTACATGATGGATGCCATAAAAACTTCGCGGGCACAATCGTTGCGCCTAATTTGGGTAAGGTGTCCCGTTTCTCACCCAAAAGTCCCGCACAAAAGCATAATAAACCGCCACGAACAAATCCGGCGGAAATTATTTATCGGCATAATAGCTACGTGACAAGCTCCAATACCGAAACAAAACGAATTCGGGGAGGAAGTGGGAAAATAAGTCAGCCTGAATGTGACATCCCGAAGATATCCCTGCAAATGTAGCAAGGTGTTATTGTCACGCAAAATATGAAACGCCCTCTGTGATCTCTTTAATATTCGTCGTGGTCCCGCTGAAGATTTGTTATTTCTACCGCACGTTATGAAAACAGCGTGCCTGTGATGTCGCTCTAAATTGACTTAAATGTTTGTGGAGCGGTATTCCTGTGAAAATAACACATGCTGTACGGTTACAATAACAAGAAGCCGGACCGATCTTTCGTTAACTTTAGATAAATTATTGATAGAGAGCGAGGCTTGGAGGAGGTTCGCATTCTGGGGATGTTTGGATTTTATTGGTGGGAGTTTGCGGCTTTATTTTGCGGTGAAATGCTCTGTTTTGGAGTTATTCCAGAAGACGGAGTATTTGTGGATGTTTTTACAGGGATGCGCTCCAGACAAAGCTCTTTTTTTTGGTATTTGAGGAAGTACAACAAATTCGCTTTCGAAAGGCTCTTATCAAGATTAAACTGGCTCTGGACAAATGAGCCGCTTCCGTGCGATTACAAAAACTATGTTGTAAGTATTTTACTTTTATTGGTTACTTTATGTAATAAGTGGAGTGCTTCCGAAGTCGCTATTAACGTTAGAGAAATTATTTTGGATAGCTCTTCACATATTAGTGCCAGATGCAGACGACTTGTGAGTTATCAAGGCTGCCAAAATTGTTCTTGGAGTTGTAAGGAGTAAGTGTTTCGGACATTTACTAAATAACACTAGACTACAATTCTAATATCGCTGTATTCATCTTAGGGTTCTACACAAATATACACCA